TGAACATTGTGAGAAGAAGATGAATTGAGCAACTAAGCTATGTTAGAGAATTTCAGTTGATTGAAAATGTTCAGAGGAGGACCACCATACCAGTAGGTGCCTGCACTACAGCACATCAGTTACCCAGAGAGATTAGGACGCCTGCATTTGTCTAGCTTATACCATCGATGGGCAAGGGGTGATTTAATAGAAGTTTATAAACACCTCCGAGGACATTATTCAGTTGGGTGTTCATACCTGGACAGTTCACAAAACTGTCAGGGCAAACTTTTTCGAGTGAGGGTTGTGAACTCTTGGAACAATCTGCCAGAGAGTGTTGTGACGGCACCAAATGTGAGCTCATTCAAAAACAGACTCGACCAACACTGGAGCAGGTACAGATACGTTCTGGAAGCAGTACTTGCCAACAGTAAATAACAGATACGTGACCGACCGCATGAACGGCTAACGAGCCGATCAGTGGTGAAGAGGATAAAGTAAAGTAATAATAGCTTAATCTCCACATATACACTGTCTGTACTCCATCTAGGATATTGGTGAGAGACGCCTGTTACCGCAGTACCACCAACACATTATTGGAGCAAATTATATTGCTTTATTTTACACAACTGTTGTACTTTTATCTTGCAATGGTGGTATTTTTGTTTAGTAACACACGTTACCAATATTGAGACACGTCATGGGGCCATAATCTAATATACTATAGGACTAGGCGTGTGTGTGTGTGTCTGTTCTGGGCAGCCGAAACAGCACAATCGTTTTTCATCAAACCTGGTGGAAAAATCGCAAAAAAATCGTAGAGTGGAACAAACCTGATCCCATATCGATGGTTTCTTTAGGAAGGCATTACATAACCATTTTATTTACGCTGGAAAACGATGCAAGTCTACGGACTTGGCGCACCCTCATTCGCTGTACGCTGTCAGCCCAAGATTGCAGTTATCCTACGGCTCCCTCCTCCTCCCCCCACTTTTTTTCTTAGCCTACTTTTTTTTAATGTTGTTTGGATTAGTAAAGGATGGAAGATGAGTAAATAGAAGAAAAAAGAAGGGAAACAGAAAATACTTAGAGATAACAGGATGGGGGGAGCTGAGTTTCATCATGAGTCTGGATGGGCAGTTTCAACGTTACCAGACGACCTTACAGCTACAGTGTATACTTATTCCTGTGGCTCATGGAAAAGGAGAAGAGATAAAATGATAATAACAGGAATGCATGGAGAAGATGACTACAATAGACACAGGGTGAATATAGACACTGAAACAGACAGGAGGTTGACCAAAATAGACAGGTTCATACATGCACAAATAGACAATATGGCAACTAACATGACAGACAGACAGCTGACTGACTGGTTCATGGTTCACATTAGACAAACAGGCAGACACACGCCAACAACGGATAAGACAGACAAATTTGACGACACAAAGAGTACAGACGGGCTTACTTTCAAACACCACGCAGACGAACAGACAGTTGGGATGTCAATAGACAGGACTGATAGACTTGAGACAGATTAGAAGGCATTTATAAACAAGAATAACACCAAATTGACCATAGCTGCGTCATTGAGGGTAGGAGGTCTTACATCCACCAGCGTAAATAATAAGATTCAACACCCTCTTGCGGAAAGAACATCATCGATGGTCGGTCAGTCATGTGAGATGGGCCTAAAACTGACTAACGTAAATGATGACTATGATGACTTAACACAGGTGATGACTTAAGCAGATGGTGACTAATCTAACCAGAATCAAGGTCACTTCTCTTCATAATATAATTTATCTCGGAATGACCATCGGTGATTCATAATATATATATATTTGTTTATAATTTTAACCTCTCCTTATTGCGAATATTTCTTTAACTAATTATTCTAACCTTTATTCTATTCCTTCCTATAGTATACTAGATACTTACAGTACCTAATAACCACGACCATGATTATAACAACCACGAATATGATTATAACAACCACGAATATGATTATAACAACCACGACTATGATTATAATAACCACGACCTTGATTATAACAACCACCACCTTGATTATAACAACCACGAATATGATTATAACAACCACGACCATGATTATAACACTCAGGCCGTGATTATAGCAACCACGACTATGATTATAACAACCACGACTATGATCATAACCACTATTATGATTTTAACAACCATGACCATCTGGAAAGCGATGTCGCTGTACTCTGTCAGCCAGACGGCAGTTGCGCGCTAGCCAAGCACGAGCCTTCGAACTTTCACGCCTCGGTAAACTGTACCACCGGACTCGCCACAGGGCACGAAGGGCCCATGATTACTTGTATATTTACTATAGTCTGGCCCTGAATAATACCATGATGTTTTCTGTGAGGCGCTGAACCGTAGCTCTTGCCGCCAAAATTGTAAACAAGAAAGTAGGAGTAGGATGACTGACAGTATTTTCGGGTCTTGTTATTGGAGAGTATGAGGATAGTTGCCCAGCGGGTTAGACGTTCTTCCTATAAATTGCACTTTTCTGTATAGGATTTACTGTTTTTCAACGCCAGAGATGAAAATAAAACTAGTCCACAATATTCTTTAATCATACTATCTTTGACGATTGATCCTGTGAGGTTTTTGATAATTACCATCCTAACACTTTCTATTTTTTTCTTCATTACCTCTCATATTTAGGAGAACAAAATCATTTGGAGGACATAATTGGTTGATAACAGCGCACACGTGTGGAGACTGGCCGCATCTGTTTTAAGAATACTATACACGAACCTGAAGAATTAAATTGTTTCTTGGTTTTCAAAAGTTGGAGAAAGTGAGACTTGGTAAATAAAAGAACCGTTCAGCAAGTCTTATAAGACAGCCAAGCGTCCCTGCTGGCAGTTGAGTCATCTTAATGCAAAAACACGACTCCAGCTTGGATAAGACGATGCCAAGAACTGTATTAAGAATAAATCGCTATTTTTATATTTAATAGATAAAGAAAGTAAAAAGACCAATAAATTAAAGACGTTAATATCGGTAAGGTACAAAAATCTGCCGCAAACCAGTCATATGACATGACGATATGAACACTTAATTCCTGTAAGAGGAAGTGATGTTCAGTGTTGCAGAGAAGCGCCGGGAAGGAAGCACTGTGAGTTTCACGCTTATAGGGGTATAAAGTTACAATATACCATATATTGTAACTTTATAACCTTTTTAGTATTAATTTTTATATGTGTTACATAAAGGGACAAGAGGTACAGACAGGGACCTGCCTATTGTAACATTGGCCAGTGTGTATGTGTGTGTAATGAGTTCCGGGGAAATTACCACATTGATTATTTCAAAAATTTTCTTTTCTTCAAAATTTGAACTTGAACAGGTGAACATAATACGAAATAAATGAATATCACCAGTATGTCTCATAATTAACGTAATCAGACCTGATTAAAGACTAATTTGATTATAGTAAATTAGGGAAGGATATTTTAAATGAACATTGTCACTTTTACCACATATTCCCTAATTTCCAGGGAGTTATAACTGATAACAAATATATATTCTCATGTCCCTTGCAATTTGTTGAATGTGAAATCTTAGCCGTCCAATTTTTCCTACAATGCATGTGTGTGTGTGTGTGTGTGTGTGTGTGTGTTTGGTGTATTAAACACAAAAAATGAAAACAAACTTTATGACGCAGTTCCTCTCGCAGGTAACTCGAGGCCACCACAATAACTGGTTGTCAGGTCCGGAATCGGCCACAAGGCTCATCTCCGTACACTGAAGCACTACAAGGTTTCTGCATCATCGGTTAGAAGACAAACACACGTCTTCTACCATAATTTGTGGCGCCAGGACTTATTAAAACAAAAGGTAATGTCTCCTAGTCGAAATTATGATATAGTTTTCAAGTAACATCATGCCAGCCAGGCTTTGGCGGTCAGTGTTGCCACTGTCTTCGTGACAATACTGACCGGACTGCCCTGCTTTAACAACCAGGCGCGGCAGCTCGTAAACACCTTGTCAATGTCAACACACTTCTATAGGCATTTTGTTGTCTACATTTTTATATTTTCAAAGTACGGTGACGTCGGTTTAACCCAAACGTATATTTTACCGATGAGTGCAATTTTAAGTTTTGTTTGTCTAATTTCCTGATTGGCTGTAATAGTCAAGTTTAATGTCATTTGAAGCCCTGGCACCTTTTTAGTTTAACAAATTTATTGACAAAGCTTGGAGTACAGTTTGCCTATTCTGAGTAATTCAGTCAGGTCTTGACACTGAGGGTGGTATCACTTCTCACTGCCACGCAGAACAGGTTCATACACAAAAGAATAGGGCCCTCCGGAACCACCTATAGTTTGGGTGAATAAGTCACAGTTCATGCTAGAGAGAAATATAACGTCCAATTTATGCGCGCATTGTGCTAATTCACTTATTAGTAATCAACAATTAAATATTAAGGGAGTTGTATCATCACTCCGAAATTCATGTGGCCAACAAAAATGAAGACTACAGACTCAGCGTTTACGACAACATTCCTTCCTTAGACAAAAGTTAAGTGCATCTATTATATGTGTGTTTATACTACGTTTTATTTAGTCTACCCGGAGGAAAGAGACATAATAATAATTAACCATTGTTTCTTCGTCTTCTCCCATCGGGTAAATATTTCAGTTAATCATAACAATTAATTCTGAGTCAGTTTTACAGTTGGTATAGTTGTATTCCTCGTTCTTGTGTGCCCAGACTCGTTAATATTATATTTTTAATTATTTTTTTTTCCGGATTTTCTGGCGTTAACGGACACACAACACAGAAAATGTATTTTTTGGTATTATTGCGAAGGGAAGAAAAATGCCCAATACTTTTCGTTTGCAGAACTTAAGTGGAAAAATAAAGTGTCGCTACCATGACTTTTAGTAGTTCCCATAGGGCCGAGAACACGGGAATGTTGCTACCATGACAATTAACAATTTCTCTAAACATGAAGAACATGGAAAAAAAATGTTTACCATGACACAAGGCGATGCAGGCGGTGGTGATTAGGCTGCTTCAGGGACACCAGTGATTTGCTGTAGATGCTTGTAGACGACACCTTGGTGCTTGTAGATACTTGTTGGTGATGGTTGTAGTTGCTGACTGGTCTTGTAGGAACTTGTGACTTGTGGTTGGTTAAGTAACAATAACTGTTTATAGGTACTAAGTTGTCGCTTATTGTTGCTTGTAAGAAGTGATTATCGAATCTTAGTGCGTATAAGACTGAGAAGTGACTTGTTGTTACTGATTGCTTGTTGCTGTACAGTTACTTGCAGTTTCTTGAGGATAAATTTAACATAAGTATCTTTTTCTTATATAGTTTTAAGTGTTTATTTCGAAGATCGTATTACAGTACTGTAATGCTGTTAGATACATAATAAATATTGACCTACAGTTTAGGGTACAGTGTATATGAAACTGTAGTGGGCTATAAGTCAGTAACCTATACGGCTGTAGCTTTCTGTAATTTTATAAAACTAATTGTACTGTAAGTATTTTTAAGTACAGCACTTGTGTCTTCTACTAACACAAACACTTTATTTCCAGCTTCTGTATTCTAAACTATTTTGTCACTTGTTTATCATTTGTCACGTTCATGTACTTGTCATGTCATACAATACGGTCTGGGCGTTTGTCGGTTATTGTTATATTTCGGTTTGTTTGTTTTCAAGAAGTTATAACCATCATGATGTATACTAGGACTCTTTACCGTCAGTGTTGGTGAGAATCTTTATACTGTATTGACTGATTCTATTCCTCAGTATTTTGGCTGTATTCACTGTAGAGTTTTATTGGTGTAGGATATTATGTTCTTAGTTTGGTTTATTTACCACACTAAAGATTTCCCATCACTCACTGTAGGCAAGTCTACGGAAATTCTGAAAAGAAACGCATGAAATTTCTTATGTTTTGAACATTGTTTTCAAATCATTCACTTGAGTTATATCATATCTCCGAATGATCATTTCTTGATATTCTCACAGTTGATGATATTCCATCAGATATGGTTCACAGTGAAGAATAAAGATCCCTCACACAAACAAACCACAGTACAAACACGTGGTGCGTGTGTGTGTGTGTGTGTGTTGTGTCAGTCAGGTACACCCGCGCGGCACTCAATTGTCTTCACCAGCTCGCGATGACGGCACGACACCGACTGAGGCACAAGTCCTCGTGCTGTGTTGTCTACCTCACTCCCTGACTCTCCTTCTACGGTCAGTTGGGCAAAGAGAGGGCGAGATTGGCTCTACTCACCAGAAAAGGTGTGAGATTTACGTCGCATGTATTTAGTCAAGGAAGGGATGAGGTGGTGTGTATGTATGTATTGGGAGATGATGATGGTCTTCAGGTGTTCTCACCTTAAAGAGAAATTGTCTCCTCTCACCACTTTCCCTGAACCGTTGAACTAAATGTTGGGTCACCGCCAGACTTAGTGCAGGAAATGAAACCACTACCGGAGAGTGATAGTACTGTAGTGACATACTTATGGCAACATTGCAGTAAGGTGCAGACACTGGTGTTACTGTTCCTCTCCATTGACTCGAGTGTGGTGTAGGACTGGTCATGTTTGTCCAAATCAACTGTATCGGTAGAGCATCACGTAAATGGGTGGAGAAAGAGAGATAGTTGTTTATTCAGTAAGATTGTCATACAAGTTCACATTAATTAATTATCTACATAGACAGTGCAGATAAAGACCGTGACAAACAGTCGCTCGATTCAGCCAAGGATAGCTCAAGAAAGCCGTCAAAAGCTTATTTACACAAATATGGTCCACAACATGGGAGGTATTTAATGAAATGAAAAATTAGTTGCTCAGATATAATAATAATATAATAATGAAAATGAAATAGTGGAGACTAACAGTGCAGCAGGTAAGTCACTGCAGGTGTAGTGGAGGTGGCTCAGGACTGACACAACACATACTGTACTGTAGAGAAAACTCAAACACTGCCAACAGCTCGCGTCAGACACACGACCTTCAGCTGAGGGCTCACTCCTCGGCATCTGTCAACTACTGATGGTTAGCATCGTCTACTGTATTATATAAGAAAATCAGTTATTTTTATTACTTTCTTTCTGTTTATCATTTCACCATATGATAATTTACTAGCCGCTCGGGTAGTTGGTCTGTTCTTTGTTATAATGCCTTTCAGGAATAACTGCCCTTAAGGGTTGATGGTGGGTGGAGGCCCTTAAAGGTGGCGGCACGCTGGGCACTTTCCTCCAAACATGTTGCCCGTTTTGCTGGCCGTTGGCCTGACTGCCCAGCAAGCAATAGGATTTCTGCTATTGTGAGAAATGGACAACGGCTTGGTAGGGATCTTTGCTGGCCGGATTAGTGCTCAAATGAGCTTCATATTATTTCGAGTAAAAAGTTTAATAAATCATGATGCAATTATAATTCTATTTATTTGTCACTTTAAAACTTCTTTAGTATTATTAAATCATTATTCCGGGTCATCTTTGACCAGCCAGCCGCCGTCACCTTTAAAGAAACTTCACGATGCACCCATTGTCTTTTCTTTAGCTTCTGCAGACGCCTCACTTGTTTCAGCAATTAAAGAACTATAGCACAGTCCTGCAAGGCCTCAACTGTAGTAACGGGATCCATGGCGAGCCTCATCTAGACACTTTCTTGTTGTTATTCGTTGCGTTGGGCAGATGCGCCAACAAAACATCCCAGTGTGACTCAAAACGTCTCTGTTCTGCTGTCCGGACCGTGTTTGCTAAACACTCTTGTTACAAGCTGAGTGAGGTAGGGGTAGTCTAGTCGCGAACCAATGATAATGAGTCGAGTGCTGTATCAATTCAGATGCCGTCGTCAGGGTATTTATCCTTCAAGACTTAAGTCGTATGTCGTGCACGAAAATTATGGATAACTAGGGAAGCCTCGCTGGTAACAGTGGTAAGATATGCTGAACGACAACAGAAGCTTATAAATGTCATCCCGCCAGCCTCACTTTTCTTGACTACAGTATATTGATAAAGTCTTCCACGCTCATCAGATCATTCCTCGGCCTTCACCCACACACTCGTAAATTGTGACCAAATGAACAAATTTATTTAAATGAACATAGAATGTTTGAAAATAAAGTAAACGATAAAGGTAACAAGGCGAGTCGGGTGAGGGATTGAGTTAGCGATTACATAGTTATTTAAATAGAGATAACTTTAGATAGCTGCACAAGGCCCCGGCTCACCGTATTTAGAATACGCCAATGCAGTATGACAACTCTGCAGCAGGTGAAGGACACCCAGATTGTGCCAGGCAATTGAAGGTGAGGGAGACGTGCAAGGGTACCCGGTCTGAGGAACTTGATTTATGAAGATTCTCCGAGGAAACTTGACGCGCCCAGCTACAGTGTACCGAGAATACATGGGAATGTGACGGAGACGCTCATTTTTATACAAAGACTGTATTAGGAAGAAATATACCTGCATTTAAGATAACATAGCAATAATGCCAGAGGCATACTGCCACACAGTTCAAAATATTGAATTTGTATTACCAGACACATTGAAGAATATCTTCATACAACAGACAATTCTGTTTGCTACTTTAGAATTTATATTTTCTCCTGGAATTGTTTTCACTTATTTTTTTTAAATATTATGTTATTGTATCACTCTTAATTCAGTTAAGTTGTAAATTTTAAATGGAAGAGGTAGAAATTATTATGTCTTATTCCAAGTACAACTTGGCGTACTGCTCTCATATCTGGGGTGGCTCTTCTTCTGTCCAACTGTTAGATAGGGTGGAATCAAAGGCATTTCGTCTTTTTAACTCTCCTCTTTTAGTTGATAATCTTTCTTCCCTTTCTCTTCGCCGTAAAGTTGCTTCACTCTCTCTCTTCTTCATGTACTTTTACGGGCAATGTTCGGTGGATTTGGCATCCTGTGTACCGCCGGCAAGGCCGTGGGCTCGTAACACACGTCTTGCCCACGGTGCCCACAGTTTCTCTGTGGATGTCGGTCACACTAGAATAACCCGTTATAGTACCTCCTTCTTTCCTCACACAGCCAAACTGTGGAATGCTCTGCCTTCTTCTGTGTTTCCATACTCATACAATCTGTTTCACTTCAAAAAGATGGTTTTCCGGCATCTTCGTGGTGTAGATTAATATGGTCTTTTTCTTTTCTATTTTAATTTCGTTTTACTCTTTTTTTCGCCCCCAGGCCCCGTTGTGGGTCGATGACCTATACCCTTATGGGCTAATCCCCGTTAAAAAAAAGTTTGAGTTACGATTTTGTATAAAGTACCATGCGAGACTCAAGTGTCAGTGACGTCACTCAGGTCCCCAAAGTTCAAGTGTGTGTTTGGTAAAGAGCGATTACCACTAGTAATATATATATATATATATATATATATATATATATATATATATATAGTTCAGAAAGCAAAAAGCGATCACAACGCGTTGTGATTGTTTTCCAAATAAACAGAAAGCGAAATTTTGCGTTTGGATTTTACCCTAACCTAAATCAATCTAAACTAACCTAACCCATCCAAAATAACCTAACGTAACCTAATCTAGTCTAACGTGTACCAAAATCTCGCTTCTGGTTATTTTCCAAACAACCATAACGCGTTGTGGTCGTCTTTCGTTTTCTGAGCCCAACATATATAATATATGAATGGGACACTGTAGGGGTATGCGATATTGGTTCACACTCAGGATGGGATGGAGAAAGGAAACTCACAATGTGCTCACTGTATACATATTGTATTGGATGTACAATGCAGCTTGTTGCTGGGTAGGTAGCACGGTAATAAGCGTTGAGTAGAGAGAGCTGGGTGGTGAGGGTGCCCAGAGTGGGGCACACGGCTTGCGGGACGCCACGGTCGCTGGCGGGAGCGGCAGCCGCACGGCTGGCGCGGAGGAGGAGGTGTTGCTTGCTGGTGGCACTGGGTAGAAAAAAGAGAGTGGTCACAGCGGTGTCAGGCCTTATAAGGTGGGGGTAGGCGTGGGTAGATTGTTGACCCCCGCTCCGTGGGCGGCGCTGGAGGCGTAGGCTGGGGAATTCGAGAAGATTCGGTGCTTGTAGGGGAGGAATCCACTCCAATACGTATTGCACCGTGGAAGGTGCTATTATAGCGTGCGGTCAAGAAGATATTTTGGTTAGATTAGACTAGACTACAGGTATCTTTGTAGACGACACGCTATAGTAGCACCTTGTGGAAAATATGGAGTACAAATTATTGCTCTTTCTGTAACTTTATTTGTGAAGTACTGTAAATGAGGGATGCATACCTCCACTTCATCCCCTACTGATTAGAATTTTATCGAGGTCACTGTACAGCTGAAACTACTATGAATGAAGGTGATTATGCGGTGGTTATATAATTCTTAAATGTAGCTTATCTCAGTTAACTCTATGGAGCAGTGTTTGCTGATTTGTTTATACATCCATATACTATAACTGTGTTCACAATTAAAAAAAAAGCAAGCTTATTTGGACGATTCCACTATTATAAAGGATATAAAACCGGTTATATCTTACGATTGTAATAAATTTCCGGGCGACCTTCAATTTCCTCGACAAGTTTCAAGGTTAAGAGTGAAAATATCTGAGACTTGTGACTGAAACATAAACACGGCAGACGATGCTGTGTATCACCTGCTGAACAAGATAACTGCCTAGTTATAAATCCGAAAGTTAATTCATATATCCGACTCGTTAAAATAAATTATGTAAGATATATAAATATTACGTAAACAAAAGGAAAGGTTAAAGTTGAAGATTCTCCTCTTAAAACGTAGAATTATGAGTGATTTATTGGAAATTTTGTATACAATTTTGGGTAGTTATGATCAGCTGGAGAACTTAATGTCTACCTTGAATCGTGGCAGACTAGTCGAGTGAGGACACTGACACGTCTCCACACCAGTTAATCCATGACATGTGCTATTTGATCGAAGCACACACACCGAGCACTGACTGACCTCCACTCCCTCCTCTTGAATGTTACACAGGTCGGTAACTAATCTAGTATTCGAGTTTGGGATGGTTATTGAAATGTATAATTGATCATTACATATAACTAATATACAGGTGATACTGACCAGGGATGGGGACGTCATCTCTGCCTGTTAGGAAAGAAAAAATATAATTCTGGGATGATGCCTAATTGCACATGTTTGAGATGAAAAAAAATTACTTCATTTGTGTTGATATTGATTTGGGGAATACTGAAATCCCTTGTGGATTTTAAGTTTAGGCTGAGGCATCGACTGTGGTGTAGGATCATTTCATTTGTGCTCAACCAGTGTTATGATGAATTTATGGGCTACTTGTGACATTAAAACTGACAGAAATCACTACAAATTGTTAAGCTAAGTGTAAATGATAAAGTTTTTATATTCTGTAGTCTAGTAATGAATTTTATGGCTTGTGCCCTTCATGAAACACCAAGTGAAAAATCTTAGTTTCGGTCATCCTTGTGTTTTTCCGACAGTTTTTGACGTGTTTTGAATTATTTTGATCTAACCAAACCTATGTAACCTAACTAAACCTAATTTAACCTAACCTAACCTAACCTAACCAAACCTATGTAACCTAACTAAACCTAATTTAACCTAACCTAACCTAACCTATCTTAGCTTTGCCACAGAACCCAGGAACTATATCTAATCTAACCTAAATTCCCAAGGTTCCCCAGATGACTGAAACTAAAATAATACCCACTTCAGACTTAAGCTAATTATTCATGAATTGGTCAAACTGCCCCTTCATTACCAAGCCCTTAGAAGAGAACTAAATGGCATTAAAGGTAGGAAACAATAAGTCGTGAACCACCACATCAGCTGAACTCGTACAATAATGGTACAATATTGGGTAATACTGGATGACAGTATCACACCTAACCCAGTACCTAAAAAGTGTGGTAGGAACAAGTTATTCGTGAGGTTATTGAGAAATAAACTGTCAATCTGAACATAATACCCAGCTATGCACTACGATGCCACAGCTCCAATGTGTACATCCAGGACATTTTATTTCATCCACGGTAACACTTCCCAAAACTTAACTCAATACTGCAACTTTGTGATTTATCGTAGGTAAAATGAACCAACCTAACTTGGGATATGCAAGTTAGGTTGCTTCCATTATCACCAATAAAACCTATAATGTAGCAGTATTTGGTCAGTTTTGGGAAGTGCTCCTTTAGATGAGACAAAATGTCTTGGGTAAACAATGGAGCAGAGGTGTTATTGGAGCACATGGGTGTAAATTAATGCTCGGGGCAGAAAAAATCGGAAAAATAACCATATCCAAAAATTTTCCTCAATCTTTTGGGCTTTCATGTAATGTAATACGTACTGTATCTAATACCTGTATAAAATATTTTCTGATGTTACTTGTTTAGTATTACCCAGTTATGTATCTCTGGAGAAAATGTTCATGTTAGATATGGAGCAAAGTTCAAGTAACGCATCAATCATTACGATGTATACAGTACTGTACTGTAATGTGACAATGTACTGTAAAACTAAACGTAAGTACCTGAACATGCTGTGGCCACACATACATTTACTGTTTATGCTTTAGCAAATGGGAAGAAAACCATTTTTGCACTTTTATTTGATTTGACCAGAAAGAATCGGAATGCTTGTGCAAGTATACCAGCACTTTTAGACTACAGGTATTTTTCTATTGAGAAAAACTTTCTTTCCTCAAGAAAATCCCCCAAATGGCAGGAAATTGCAATTTTTGTACAATAATGCTTTGATTTACGAAAGGCTACATTCCTCAAAAAACTTTTGTAAATCTAAACCATTTTCCCGTTGACTGTCATTATATAAAAGGAGATACAGTACCTGTATGTACAGTATCACATTTATTTAATTCATATAAGAATATATTCTACTTAGAGGAAACTGTAGGTGGTTGGTGTTTAGGGTGATGGACCGATGATGTTGCAGAGTGGTGGTAGATGATGGTGTTACTGGGAGGATGATGGTGTAGCAACTGCCACTACTACCTTCATGTGACATATTATCTGTACAGTATATGTAAATATAAACACAGAAATGTTGCCACACATTAGCCTGCACGACAGTACATACTGTACACTGTTTACTGTCCAAGTTCAGCACGGGATGCTCTTGGTTGCCTATTTCAGCAACTCGACATCTTCCAATATTACAAAAAAGTATGGTTAACGTTTTTTGTAAAAGCAGGGGTTTCTTTCATTTATTGAAGTGCTGGAAACCCCCCAAATATATATATATATATATATACAGGTATATATATATATATATATATATATATATATATATATATATATATATATATATATATATATATATATATATATATATATATATATATATATATATATATATATATATATATATATATATATATATATATATATATATATATATATATATATATATATATATATATATATATTATATTATATAAAATATTAGCAAATTTTTTAAAATTGAAGCACACATGTACAAATGGGGCTCTGGCCTTGCTGAGTTATCCCAAATTCCGACTTATCGAGGCACTTCCATTTCCTACAAAAATACAACAATAAAAAAATATCGACCCATTTATGTGTACATACAGTATACTGTATGTAATTACTAAATGTTAAAAAGTATCACATACCAGCACTGCAGGTGAAGAATGAGGCATCATAGTAGATGACACAGATACATGGTAGGTGACACAGAGGTATGGTAGCTGACAGAGGCATGGTAGGTGATGCAGGTGGCCAGATATGCCAAGATTTTCCCAGATAATTTTATATACAGGTATTGACATTTACTGAGTTACAGGTATACTAATACATTCTGAGACCATATCCATGCCAAGTTATATAAAATTCCGAGTTATCGAGGGTTTACTGTATTTGTACTTCTGTAGTTCTTTGTATAATTGATGGACTTCCATCTGCCACATAGTCATTGCCATATGTGATGTTTGACGCCATATGTGATGTTTGACCTGTTGACAAATGCTTCCCATAGACCTTTTCATATGTTACCTAACCAAACCTTCCCTAATGTACCCTCACCTGACCTAAAATAATGTGCTGTACAGATTTCCATCTTATAGTATATTCTCACGAGGACCTGACATAAAACGTTGGAAGAGATAAAAAATACCAAATGGTTGCATCTCTCTTTTTGTCACTAAATTTCTATGGTTATGTATTGTTACGACCCTCCTCCATCACCACTTACCCAGCTTCCACCACTGTTACCAGCGGCAAGGGTTGTGTGTACAGAAACAGTTGATGTCTCGAGTTTTTTGAATTACCACTGGCTGTACCGCCAGTCAATGGTAACTTCCCGACGATTGGTATCAGTGTACAGACAAACAACAGGAAGGTAGATTTCCACCAGGTCACAGAAACACACTTGTGCACTGTATTCTTCTTTAATAAACACTAATTCTTCACAACACTGTCAACAGGGTAATGGCTTCACAGTGTACAATTCCTTAGTCTTCTCTTATATTAATTACAACAATTCCACAATACTTGCACAACAATTGTCTCTAGTTGTTCTGCGAAGCTTATTCTTTACACTATGAACAGAAGCGAGTGACTAATTGCCCCTAGGCTGTCCGCACCCACTTATATACTCCTCGTCAGACACTTCTCGAACATCCTAGAATCACCCAGAGACGTCTGGGAGATTCTAGAATGTTCTACTCTGATCAAAGCTTACAATAATAAATAAATCAGAACAAAAATGACACAATACATTCTAGAATATTCTTACATAATTAATGCATCACCATGTACACAAAAATTTCACTAAATTTGCCAAAATAACTGCTGCATGGAACAGAAAAGAATCAAAACACCTAGTTTACAAAATTATAATACAAAATTATGCCTCAGCATAACACTACCCCCTCCCTAATCCTTGTGTCGTACCGACACACTCATTCACTATACTGTACAGTATACTGTACTGTACATAATAAACCTGAAACTTGGTAGGTCTCATCTTCTTCCGCTGCTGCTGCCACCTACGTATTGGGATGTCTTCAGAGATCTCCCTTGGTGCAGCAACCTCGGTCACATCCTCAGATCAGTCCCCCTTACCTGTCACGTCCAATTCCACGTAGAGGGAACAGTGCTCCTCTTCCTGGTCCATGGTCGGGTTCCCTGGATTGGTATGGTCCTGAGTTCTTTTTGGATCTCCGGTCTGGTCCTCGTCTTTGGTAGGTGGCTACTCCTCGGAGTCTTCCCAGGTGTACTGCCCTGACCCATGATACTGCCACAGACGATTGACGTGGACTACCTTCGGCTGAGCCTTTCTTCATCCCCTGATCCGGTAGGTCACATCTGAAAGGCGTTCCACTACAGTGTGTGGTACTTCCCATGGACTCTGCAGCTTCGGTGACTGACCCTTCTTCTGCAGAGGGTTATACAGCCAGACCTTATCACCGTCCTTGTAATAGATCTAGCTTGCTTTGACATCATGGATGCGCTTCTTCACTTCACCTAAGAACTCCAGAGCTCCTCGAATTTGATGGTGGACCTCCATCAACCTTTCTTGGAGGCTTTTGATGTAACTGGTGGTTTCTTCAAGAAGTTTTTCATCAGGTGGTCTTCCTGTCAGCAGGTCCACTGGCGGCCGCAGTTCATGACCCAGCATCAGTTATGTCGGTGTGTATCCAGTTGACTTGTGGGCAGCTGACTGATATGCCATCAGCAGAGCAGGCAGTTTCTGGTTCCATTCAGTCTGCCCCTTAACACAGTACTTGTCCATTTCTTGTCCCAAGGTTCACTTAAACTTTTCGACCATTCCATCTGACTGTGGCCGAAGTGGAGTGGTCTTAGTTTTCCTTATACCCAACAGTTTACAACACTTGCTGAACACAGCTAAATCAAAATTTCTGCCCTGGTCTGAGTGCAACTCGTGGTGCACACCAAACTGGCAGAAGAACTGGTCCACCAGTACCCTGGCAAGTCATGGCTTTCTGATTTGGGATGGCATAAACTTCTGGCCATTTATTGAAGTAATCCATTGCCACACAGATGTAGCTTTTCCCATCTGTACTGAATGGCAGAGGTCCTTCAGTATCCACTGCGACCCTCTCCTTTGGTGCACCTGCATGATGCAACTGCCGTGGGGCAAGCGGGTATAGCTTTGGTCCCTTCTTGGTGCAGCAGACATCGCATGAACGGCACCATTCTTCCACATCCTTATGCATGCCAACCCAGTAAAACCTTTGCTGCGGGCGACTCAGGGGCTTCTTCACTCCCAGATGTCCACTGGTTAGATTGTTATATATCTCCTTCAGGATCTCTTAACCTCATCTTCCCGGGAAGTACTGTCTGCCAGTACCTGTTGAGGCGATTGGTAGCCACCCACTGGCACTGTAGCAGACCATCCTTCAGCCAAAGAACATCCCACTGTGCCCAGTAGGTTTTAGTCGTAGGATTTGCTCCAGAGATCGTCTCCCTTGCTGGCTGGACTGAGCTCTGGTTCATCCACTTGACCATTGGTCTTCCAGCTGCAGCTTCTCAAGGCCTTCCCCAGCAGAGTGCTGGATCCTCCTCCACTGTTCTTCTCTCTGTTCTTGCTGTAGTTGTATCTTTTCTTTGCTCTGTTCTTGCAGTAATTGTTTCTGTTCTCTTTTTGTGCTTGTAGCTGTTCTTGCAACATTGTTTGTTGCTGCTTCTGTTCTTCCCATTGTGTTAGTAGGAATTGCATCAGATCAGCCATGGAAATCTCCCCTTACCTGGCCTGGCTTCTGGTCTGGATACCGACACCTTTCACCTTGAGTGATATCACACTGCTAGGCTATCCCACTCCTGACACCAATGTTACGACCCCCCCTCCATCACCGTTGACCCAGCCTCCACCGCTGGTTACCAGCATCTAGGGTCGTGTGTACAGAAACAGTTCTCACTGGCTGTCCCGCCAGTCTCCGGTGACTTCCCAACGATTGGTATCAGTGTACCGACAAACAACAGGAAGGTAGAATTCCACTGTAGTATTCTTCTTTAATAAACACTAATTCTTCACAACACTGGTCAAGGTCCCTGCAACTTCTCTGCTTCAAAGCCATGTTCACTAATAAATTTAATGAAAGATTTGGTGTACTATTGGAGAACATGTAAATGAACTCTGCGGGTAATATTATTAATCACATTACAGTAAACCCTCAATAACTCGATATTTGATAACTCGGAATTTCACATACGTAACTTAGCATGGATATGGTCTCGGAATGTATTATAGTATAACTCAGGAATTGCAGAGATATATAAAATTATCTGGGAAAATCTTGGAATATCTGGCAACCTGCATCACTACCATGCCTCTGTCACCTACTATACCTCTGTGTTACCTACCATGCATCTGTGTCACCTACTATGATGCTTCATTCTTCACCTGCAGTGCTGATAAGCATTACTTTTTTACATTTAGTAATTACATGCACACATACATAGGTCTATAATTTTTTAGTGTTGTATTTTTGTAGGAGGGGGAAGTGCCTTGATAAGTCAGAATTTGGGATAACTTGGCAAAGCCAGAGCCCCATATGTGCTAAGTTAATGAGGGTTTACTGTACCTTCATTCTCATCAATTATATTGGAATTAATAGTCATCAGACCAATCCGCTCCAATCATGGTTTTCAGGTGTCTGGTTGGCTGAAGCCATTTAGATAGCATGAAACCAAGACTGGAGTTATAGCTCCTGGTAAAATTTCCCATGCCCAGGAGTTGGATCTCGATCACCCTAGTTGAGACACGGAGATACAGTACAGTACTTTTTTGTCTGTTTGAACACAAGCGAAGTATTACGATATTCAGGTCTCCTCTCCCTGGCTGGTATATTTATATGACACTGGCTCTGTAGTCGTCCACTATTGACTTATTCTTCCATACTTTATTGATGTGGCATATGATGGCATTATCAGATGGGGACTGAACTGTTTCTTCCAACAGTGAGTTCCACATACTGTACAGTATGTGTTCCTCTGAAAAAGTATATTTTCTTATGTATTGTCTGCACCAAACCTTTTATAGTGTCAATGTACTGAATCAGTATGTCCTCTAACTGCATTGAGTTCTCAGTTTTAATAGCTATCTCGCCCAGTTTCTTATCACCAATTCCTGCAGTAATCCTTTACTGTACAGTATTGTTCTGATTCATACAGTTCTTAATGTTTGGTGTTGTGGGAGGCTTTTGACTTTGTTTACATCACACTGTAAGGTTTATATAAATGATAACACCCTAACTCAAGGTCCAGCTAGTATGTGTGTGTGTGTTCGGGCTGATTGACACCACCCACACCAGGTTAAGGTGGTGGTGGTGTTATAATGTTATTGCTGTACTGTGCTTCAACAACTAAGATCTTTAAGCATGTAACAAAGCTAATACAGTAATTACACTATTGCATCACTATTTAAAAATTATGAGAGATAAAACTCTTGTTAGGTTGAGGAGAATCAGGTTTAGTTGATGGGTATTCCAATCCATTTTTATTAAACAGCCTATCATTTGAAGTCCTTTGTGGGGTTTTTACTCTTTGCTCTATGTATGGTGTGGGGTGGTTCTGCAGCGTTTATATATTATTTCACCTTATATCCACATGCCTTTATGGTGATTAACCTCATCAAGAGCCTGGGGGTAAACAGTGGAAGTCTCTGGAAGACTTTGGGCTAAACTGATTTTCACTTCACTAGAGATTTGGATGAATCAGACCTAATCAGGCTTCTCCATACTTTTTGGGGAAAATTTCATTTTTCATAAAAATAGTTTGGTGTAGTTAATGAGTTTATTTCAACATTACATGATCTATTTGGACTCTACCGCAATAACCAAAAAATGCGAGAATAATGCGGATTAGAACAAATGGTGGTCTGGTTAACTGGGAGACCATTAAAAAAATAATAGTAAAGTAAAACTGTCCTACAGGTTAACTATTGGATAAGTGTGTTTATAAACTACTCTGCAGTTATACAGTTCACCATGAATATAGACAATATACAGTAGGTACACTATACAGTGCATGTAGGCTGAGGGAGTATACAGTTTTCTGTGTGCTGAGACAGTGTAGGTAAACAACACTGGTTAACAGTAAGGCAACTTGATCAGGGATAGGTGACAAAGCTGTCAGGTGATTATTTTCAGGAGGGTTCTTTGCTTTGGCTTAGGCATGGTCTCTAATCAGTAATACAAGGTAACATGTATACAGGAGTAATAGTAAAAGTTAATTTGATAGGAATCAACAAGCATTGCATTGTGCTTGGACTGTCTTTACTTACTTTTATCCTCTTCACCACTGATCGGATCGTTAGCCACTTGGGCGATCGGTTATGAGAGGCTGGTGGATCACAATCACAGTACAGTATTATATTCTGTGGTTTATTAAAAATATAGAAACTCACTCTCTTCTCTTGCTGTAGCTTCATCTGTTATGTTAATCTTTGTTTATCTTTAAATTGTTTGATACTTTAACTTGTATTGATGTGGTCTTATAGTTTGTTCCAGTCTATTATAGCTGGAAAGAAAGTATTATTCACTTGACTGCAGACACCAAGTACCATAAAGTTTTGTTCACTCCCTCTAGTGCCTTGCCAGTTCATATCCCTAATCCTTAAAAAGTTGGTTGTTAGATACTCTGGGCACAGTTGATTCACTCTGTCCGCAACACTTAATATGTTCAGTGATTGAAGAACTTCGTGACCATGATCTCTGGCTTTCATGTCAAGAGTGAACCTCACCGTCTTGTTTTGAACAGTTAGCAGCTTGCACTTTAGTTATGTGTTAAGGCAGAGTACAATGACGAGCAGGAATAGTCCAAGTGATTGTATGAGCGCCAAGCAGAGGGTCCTACGGGCATCTGCTGAGAGGTATTTAGTATTTCTATAGAGAAATTTTATTTTTGCATTACTTTTTTCAACAATACAAGTATAATCTATTATCAATTCACCAGACAAACAAGAGTCAAAAGTTAGTCCAAGGTATTTTACTGAAGTTACAGTTGAGGTGAGTTCATCCCCACATTACTGTGCTGTACAATGAATTCATTTATCCTTTTGGGTCTTCTTTTTTATCTCAATAATATTGTTTCAGTCTTTCAGAGATATAAGGATAATTTGATCATCAATGTTCTACCAGCTGACCCTGGGGTTGTCATGCACCAAGTCTTGTGTTTACTGGTGTTCTGCACACATCTCATTCTACATTATGTACTTTGGCTCTATGGGTATTTCTATAATTTTTGTTTTTACAGTACAGTATTTCACTGTTTCATCACCGTGGAAAACCCAAACGGTGGTGTTGGTGGTGTTAGGCAAATCAAGTGTATAGGAATACAAGCAATGCTGATGAACAACAGGAAATACAGTATATAAGCATTTGTCTTAATTGGATACACTGTACCACCTGACTTATCCCAAGGGATTGTCCACTGAGTCTGACTTGCCACCTCTTCATTTAGGTGATATAAGCAAGTTAGTTATAATAATTTTCTTATTTCTCTGTGTTTGTTATACAATACAAGTACAGTATCTCAATATTTGTTTATTATATTTATTGGAACAAGGATGTAACTAGTTACTGTAATTTTTCATAAAATGGCTGAAAATGGTTTCATTTTATCCCGGAAAACTCCTCTGTAAAACAGTATCAAGAAATTTGAGAAATCCAGGCACTCTGTCGTATCCTCCAGTTAGTTTGGTTTACAGGGTATTTACTGTATAATTCTGTTTCAGCACACCAGAGAATTTCCTCCCAATTTCAGGCCTGATCCACCAATGGACCAAGAAGAATAATCTATCCAAAGGATTAGCCGATGCCTTGTCACAAAGTGGATGTTGCTGGCTCTCGATCAATTCATTTCAGTAGTTGTACAGTACTTGCCAACAGTGCATAGCAGAGACATGACCAATCGTCCAGGCAGCTAACGAGCCGATCAATGGTGAAGAGGATTTTTGTATTATTATTATGGGAGTATCCCACCCGGGCACTGGTCAATGACCCACATCAGGGCCTGGGGCTGAAAATATGAAAAATAATAATAATAATAATTAATAAAAATACAAATTAATAAAAATTATAAAAAATATTAAATACCTGTACAGTATATAGTAATAATAATAATAAAGGACCATCAATAAATACAAAAATTGAAAAAAAGGATCAATAGTGAGAAATGATATACGGTATGTACAGTATGTTGTGTTGTCAAAGTAAGAGAAACAATTGAAACTCTGTAATTGTGTGTAAATGAGGCAGAAAGTCAGATCAGCAACCTGGGACTTTGTCACAATTTTTGTGATGGCATATGGCAGCAGGGTCTACCGTTAGACAGTACATTATGCTTCCAATATCTTCCCAGGCGGTAGAACCACCCTGTTTAGTAGCTGCCTACGACATTAAATTGTAACATGCAGTAAGTAGCCTTTAGCTAACTACTAACACTGAGGACTGTGTAGCTGTGCCAGAACCCCTTAAGTAAAGTTCATTTATCAGAGATGGATCAATTGTCTCCAAACTTATATGTGGTGTGAACAATGGAACCACCTGTTCAGTGGAAGGTGTGGTTGCGAATGAATGAGTAATTACCTATTATAGTTCTCCAATTACCTTTCTGTTTCAGGTTAAAGACAGCAAAGAAGAGTAAACAATGCAACCACAACAGAATCTTTTAAGAGTAATAGCAAGTGGGCTGTTGTTATGTATACCACGATTCTCTCTGACTGCGGAGGTTAAACACATCACACACTGGAATGCTGACTGGGGACCACAGCCAGATAATGTCACAGACTTCACTACTTTTCTGTAAGTTTATCTTAGTACAAGTAATTGTTACTTCAGTCAAAGACCTTTACTTAATCCTATAGCGACAAAACATAAAGATGGATGCATTGATAGTAATACTTTAGTAGTTTTAGTTTGTTGGGTAAATTAAGGGAAATTTTGCATTTGATTTTTGAAGAAAATTTGTTAATATACTGTAGTTTTGGCATTGCCAATGTTAATAAATAAAATGTAAAAGAGGAGCTACAGCAAAACTTCCAACTAAAGTGTGTTGTGAAAGCATCTCTACTTTTTTCCTGATGCATAATGATATTTTACATCCTGTAGTGATATTGTACAGCCTGAGACTTGTCTAATGCATCTCAATGAAACTGTAATCAGAAACTTCAAATACATCATATTAAGAAATTAAAGTAAATACCCAATTTATGTTTTATCATTTACAGTACAGTACTGTACTATACAGTACTGTATTTACTGTATATAAATATTAATGTGGGACTGGTGCTTAATATTACTATACTTCACAAACAAAAGACACGAATCAGTTGAACATGTAATGTCGAATTTGAACTTTAAACATTGTATAACCACACCACGCTTAAAACTTTGAGGATGGAATCACGCTGTAGCCAACATTTTTATGCAAAAGTTCGCGTTTTACAAACAGCTTTCCCCTATTCATCAATCGCGTTGCAACCAATTTGCGTTGACAAAACACGCTTTGTAGCAGAAATGACTAACTGGTATGAGGGCTGTGATGTCATTCAAGACAGTGGCCAGCATTCAGCTTGCTGGATCTCGCGAAATTCACGATATTTTACGCCAAATATAAGACTTGGTTACATTAGGTAGTGCTCCCGAAATGAAATCGCGCAAAATGTGAGATCTTACTGTACTCTGTTTTGGTGACTCTGAAGTGACTTTTTCTATATTTTTGTGACTAAAGTGGTCTGCATCTGTTGTTGTGAACAAGTGCTTTTGCTCTGTTTTTGTGATTGTGAAGTGAGCAGTGTAACTTAGAAAATGTCTGGGAAGGCCAAGGCACCCAGGAAAACCACGTCCCTAGAGGTCAAGCTTGACATTGTGAAGCAGCATGAGACTCCCCAGAGGCTGTGTGGGAGTCAGAGAGACATGTCTACTCCACCTTCAAGAGTTCCCTTAGCCTCGAAGTGGACATGTAATGATGATCAGACTTATTCTTGATGATGTGGTGAGTTTTGTGTGTGCTGTAGGTATTGTATAGTATTAGTGAAGAGTTTTGTTTGTGATACATGTGGGTGTCAGACTGGCAAGGAATGTATCCCATTGAACCCCATGCTATAATGATCCCAATTTACGACATTTTGACCTGCGATGGGTTTTCAAGGATGTAACCCCATCATAAATAGCGGATACTGTAATCATTATTGTAAGTTTCATATTGCAGATCTCTTAACTAATGTGAACCTTAACAGTTAAGGAGGACATTTTCAAAAGAAACCATTTTCATTAATGTTATTTTCTGTTTACAGATGGTATGGATATTCTTCTAATAAATTTAATTTTACACAAGAGGATTTTAAAGCATTTGTAGAATGCACGACAGGCAGACGACAATGCCCAACAATTGACAAAGATCTACCCCTGTCAAAACTGACAGACTGTAATGTAAACAGAGCATTATCCCCATCTCAGTGCAACATGTTAAAAGCAGTAAGTTGGTTATTTAATTTATTATTGTTCTATACAGAATAGAGCTTTAAGAAAGTGAGTAAATAGAAATGAAACTGTGTATAGTGACAAGCAACTTGTTGATGAAGCTGTACTCACTTTTGGCCCCCTTGCAGAACATCAGGTGTCGCGGTCTTTAACAGGGAGCCTCTTGATCTTTTTGTTACAGGTACCTGTAGCTACACACCTTTTTCCTATAATAGCTGATCATTTTTCTGAGTCTTCCAGCAGATTTATTATGCATGGTGCTACTTGACAAGTCCTGTTCTGGATTAAGTATTGTGGGATATGATTATGGGTGTAGGAGATCCCTTACATCAGGGGTGGCAAACGTTTTTGAGAGCTTGTGCCCAAATTGGCGATAATATTCTGAAAAATTCTCTCGCGTGCCTGTGAGAATTTTGAGCAGAAGATTATTATTATTATTATTATTATTATTATTATTATTATTATTATTATTATTATTATTATTATTATTATTATTATTATTATTATTATTATACTGCCTGTATTGGTATTTTACAAAATTTTTAAAAGGATTCTTAGAGAAGTCTGTTTAGGCAACCAGTAACTCTTCCGAATTGTTTTAAATGGGACAGTTTTAGGAATTACATGTTATTTTAACTAGTAATTCACAAGAGGTAAAATTAATGAATTACCTGAAAATAATAATGGACCTTCATTTTAGAAGAAAGGAGTCCTCTTGCTTACTTACGTGTATTAATTTTTTTTACGATTAACAAAAGTATAACAGAGAGAGATTGAAATAAATGAAAGCAATTTAGAAAAAGCCTGTTCAAAAAATTATTAATATCAATGTTTTTAAAAAGACAATTGAAAGATAACATCATTTATAAAGAGTACTGGACCTTATAACCAATATATGAAATGTGATAGTGAAATTATAATCTTTGGTTCATATTATAAAACAAAACAAAATTCAAGGAAAGGAAAATAAGCTTATTTTACTCTGTGAGACTTTTGCTGCTGCACCAACGATGACATTTTATATCAGGATTGTATTTGGTTGTTTTGAGAGCTATGCATGCAGCACTAGTTTCATCAGTAAGTCTATTCCTATAATTAGACTTGACAAAGTTCATAACTGAAAACAATGACTCACATGAATATGTAGATGAAAATTCTGTTAATACTGCCATTGCTAAATTTTTCAGACAGTCAAATGTTTCAGGAATGGAATTCCAGAGTTTCAGAACCTCATATACTGTAATTTTTGGCACTGATCCAGTCACTAACCAATCTCTCAATATTTTCTAGTTCAGCTCTTAAGTTGACAAATTTTTGCCTCCAAATTTAGCTGTTTTGTAAATCAGTCAGTTGCATCTCAAAATTATCCATATCAATCCACTGCAACATTTTCGAATTAAGTTTGTCTAATGTTACAATGTCTGCACAGTTTATGAATTTTGCAGTTCCTTCAAATGACCTGAACTTAGTAAATCTTCAAGAAAATTGTTCAGTAGTTGAATCAATGATACTCGAAAATTGCATTTGAAGGCTCTGAATGTCTGTTTTCTTATGAATTTCAAGATCAGTTATGTGTTTTTTTTTAGGTTTGGGAAATATTTAAAAGTGCCATTGTCGACATCACGTTTAAAAATTTTCAGTTTGATTTCAAAGGCTTTCATGTTATCAAACATAACATCAAGTGATTTGCCAGATCCCTGTAATTTGGTGTTCAAGTCATTTAATTGTGAGGAGAAATCTGTAAAAAAAACATCAATCTACAAATCCACACGTTAGATAATTCTTGACAAGAAAATTTTTCATTATTCAAAAACAGATGAATTTCATCAAAACACTCAACAAATGTTTAAGGACAGAACCTCGACTAAGCCAACGAACGTTATTGTACATAAGTAGTCCTGTGTACACCGAATTCACCTCCTCAGTAAATTCTGAAATTGTCTTTTTTTCAAAGCATGTGCAGAAATAAAATTGACTACCTTGGTTACAATTTTCATCACTTCTTCAAGTTCTTTAAGGCCAGCTTTTGCACACAAAGCCTCCTGGTGTACAATACAAGGAAAGGCTACCAGTGGATGTCTAACATATTTTTCAAAAAAATTTACAAAACCTGCTTCTCTACCAATCATGCTGCGTGCACCATCAGTTGTAACGGAAACTATTTTTGAAAGACCAACTTGTCGATCAGACAGTTCGTTTACTACTGCCTTACATATTTCAGCCCCTGTGGTATGTTCAGGTTAAGTTACCAAGTTAACCAGTTCTTCACATATTTCATCGCCCCTACAAAATTGAGCAATAATGGCTAGCCTAGCTGATGATGTAACATCAGTGCTCTCATCAAGACAAATGGAAAGCAATTTACATGAACCAATATCTTTTGTTAGCTGTTCTACTGTGTTTGTTTCCATCTTTAATATTCTATCTTTTACTGTGTTTCTACTCACTGGCAAATCCTTAATGCGCTGAATAATATTTTCCTTTTTTGGAAAACCGTTAAAAAGGAAAGAAGCACGTTCTAGCCATGATTCTTTAATATACTCCCCATCACTGAGTGGTTTTCCATGTTAAGCAGCAGCAGCAGCAACAACTAAGTTGGAACTACCTGAAACAAATTTCATCAAAACATTTGACTGCATTTTTTTTCCTGATTTCTCGAGAAATGTGTTCTTTTTGTTCTTGCTCACTTTTATCGCAAAGCCATTTATGAACAGTTTCATAATGCTCCTTTATGGAGGAAGTCCTGCGGCAGTGCATGCTACGTGTCAACAAAATATTTATTATGGGTGGGGTTTAAAAAATCTTGGGGCTGCAGTGCATGCCGAGTGCCAACAAAATTTTTTCGCTTGCCACCTTGGGCATGCTTGCCATAGGTTCGCCACCCCTGCCCTACAGCATTGTATTTTAGAGGTGAGGATGAAAGGTTTGTTTTGGAGTCTCTGTATTATTTCTTACAAGTAATCTGAGCTATGAGTCAGCTTGATCCTGGTTTGGTTTTCTCCTGATTTTTTCTCTATGATTTACAAGTCTAATTTCATCCTTATGTCTCTTGATGTTAGTTTCAATTGTTATGACTGACCTGCATGAGAAGTGCACAGTTCACTTCTCGAGGATGATTTTGAATTGCTTTTGTTTTGACATATATTATTTTGTTTTGGGACTAGAGATACAGGGTTCTAGGACATTTTGTCACCAGCTCAGTATAAACCTGACCTAACTTAATCATGACGTCATTGCCTCCAACGTAAAGAAATTATCTAAATTTAGTAAGTGTAGTGCAGAATTTAATAGACTGGTGACAAAATGTCCGCTCTCTAGATACAGATGGGTTGTAGCAGAGGGCCCAGGGTAACATCACACCTGTCTTGTGAGAGAGTTTGGAATGGAACTGCTTGACCTAGGAAAAAATGGGATAACTCTCATAAGGGAGTGTGGAACCTGAAGCTATTGTAGTACCCCCCCCCCTCTAGTTTTAGTTGGTTCTGGATCGTGATAGTTGTCTGGCAGAGGGCGTTCATCAGAGATGGAGGATACATGGAGAAAATTTTTTTTCTGGGTGGTCCCTCGATTAACGAGATTTCGGTTAACGAGTTACCTTCCATAAGATTCTTAACTTTGGTTAACGAGCAATCCCTCGATTAACGAGTTTCTTACGAGCCGACCTGAACATGTTTTCGCTTGCATTTGGCGGTCCACCAGCTGTAGTATTAGTCCACCAATACAGTACAGTTGTACCCCACTTAACGCGGTCAATAGAACCCAGAGGGTCCCGTGTTAAGTGAAATCCGCGTTAAGTGAACAACAGAACATATGGGATTAATTCCAATAGAAACCGGCCCGACCCCCAAACTCCACTTTTTGAAGACACATAACTATGTTGTAGTAAAAATAACATCTTAATTTTATGATGGTACATGCACACAATTAATACTTAAGAGAAATAGAGAAATACAGTCGCCAAGTTAATGTCCATTCAAATAATGGACTCAACTCCCTCCCCCTCTCACACTACACTGCCGGCTCTTCCCTCTCTGAGAAATTTTTGGGGGAAAACCACTAAATTGTAATAAATAATACCTCAAACTAAAGTTAGGATAATACAATTGACATTGCTGGATTCCTTGTAAGACCAGGAATATTTTGAATATAAATGTCATATATTGTGCACAAAAGATAACATAGTTACTCAGAAAATTTTTTTATCTAAAATTTGTATGTCTAATGCAAAATATATGATGTCTATATTCAAAATGATCACCAAATTATAAGAATTCCAGCAATGTAAATTATATTCTGGCCGGGTAATTTGTATGAATTTTATGAGCTAAAACAAATATCTTCAGTTAATAAAAAAAAAAATAATCTTCAGGACACTATCTGTCCATCAAAGTACCCCACCTTGCCTTCCCCCTCTTCCAACCGCCTGGTCAGTCCCAACCCTCCCCCCCACCCCCCACCAATCATCCCTTCAAGAGAAGAGTGGGTGAAAAATTTAGATTTTAACATTTTGTATTAAATAATACCTCAGATTAAAGTTAGGATAATATAATTGACATTGCTGGATTCCTTGTAAGACCAGGAATATTTTGAATATAAACGTCATATATTTTGCACAAAAGATAACATTCTTACTCAGATTAAACATTTTATCTAAAAATTTTATGTCTAATGCAAAATATATGATGTTTATATTCAAAATGATCATCAAATTATAAGAATTCCAGCAATGTAAATTATATTCTGACCGGGTAATTTGTATGAATTTTATGAGCTAAAACAAATATCTTCAGTTAATAAAAAAAAAAAAATATTCTTCACGGGGTAACAGATGGTCGGTCGGTCCCTCCCTCCCCCCCACCCCCCACCAACCGTCCCAAGGAGATGTGTGGGAAAACCAGAATACTTAACTTTTTTGTAATAAATAATACCTCAAACTAAAGTTAGGATAATATAATTGACATTGCTGGATTCCTTGTAAGACCAGGAATATTTTGAATATAAATGTCATATATTTTGCACAAAAGATAACATAGTTACCCAGAAAAAAATGTTATCTAAAATTTGTATGTCTAATGCAAAATATATGATGTTTATATTCAAAATGATCACCAAATTATAAGAATTCCAGCAATGTAAATTATATTCTGGCCGGGTAATTTGTATGAATTTTATGAGCTAAAACAGGCAGTCAGGCAGGGTGGTGGGTGGCGGGTGGGGCAAATCTAAAAATAGCGTCTCGAGCCGGACACTCACCGCGTATATGATGAAAAAATCCGTGTTAAGTGAAAGTTCAGCTCTGGCGAGGCACCGCGTATATGATAAAACGCGTTAAGTGAAACCGCTTAAATTCCTTACCATTTTAGCAAATATCAAGAAGTTTATACTATTCAATAATTTTAAAAGTTTAATATTAAATTTTTTAGTCATTTTAACAATTATTGAACATCATTGAAGGTAATGAAACTAGTTTTATGCGTGCCATCTAGCCTCTCAACACACCATACAGGCATCGGTCTTTGTGTCTTTTCAGTGGAGGTAATATCTTGCTTGAGAGACTCTTCAACTAAACACTTTTTTTCTGTGTTTGCAAGTAAATTATTGGTCATTTTGAAATATATTTTATATATTGACAGTATATAATGCAGCGCAGTGTTGATTTAAAGAAAATAATCTTGAATTACATCAAGAGAACTAAAATTTTATGGGTGAAATGGTGCCGTGGGGTGACTTCTCTTCCACCCCACTGCCTTCTCTTCTCCCTTCTCCTTCACCCCCATTCTAATTCCCATCATCATCATCATCATCCAGGAGCCTTCTGCATACACACCTCAAAGTAAGTGTACTTTTCTACCTTTTTGTTAAATTTAGGCAATTTTCGGTGAGCTGGAACCAATTACCCAAAAACCCATTGAAACAATGGTTTCGGTTAACGAGCAACTTTCTAGAATGGATTGTGCTCATTAACTGAGGGACTATAGCAAATTAGGTCCCCTTCCACCTTCATTGGGGTTCATATCTGGTCAGCTGGAACTATGGTGATATGGTGTAATACTCTTAGATCAGTTAGCCTCTGGCTTCCCCATGCAGGGCGGGAAGAAGGATGATCAAAAAGTTTTTTCAATGCATGAGATTGACTGGGGAAACTCTTGACTACACAAGCTATCAAAACCTCTACTTCCACCATGACAAAATATTAATAAAAACACCTCGTACAACTAGCACCGCCTCAACATATCCACCCACACGGGGAAGCGAGAAAAGAATGATTTGTTCATTCCGGTAAACTTGTCAGCGCGAGCAACCAGCGGCAACAGGCTTCAGCATGCTTCTACTGTGTGCGGCCACACTTGATAGTATGATCACATTCATGACACTTGTCAGAGCTGGTAACCCGCAAGCGGGTGACCTGCTTTCTTTATGTTCTTCCTGTAAGTGTGTAAAGTAAATGAGGTATAACTGAGGATAATACTTAAGTTCTTAGTATAATTATTTTTGGCTCTGTCTTGCAGTGCACGGACGGTGAGTTGCTGAAAATGTACGGCATTGAGGACAATAATCTGAGTGTGGACGACTTGCAGACTCTCCTGCCACTTGTTTTGTATCGGTCTCAGCTCAACTATAATTGTGACAAGGAAAATTCTATTACACAGACCATTAGGAAACCCAAACAGTCAGAAGGTAGGGATTCATGAAGTACCTCCTGTTCAGCTGGGTATATTTTGTAAGTGATTGCTTATTGTATTTTTCTTTTCTGAATTGTTCTGCCAAACTGTCTTAAATTTAATTATCAATATTTCATTCATCAAGCAAGTTGTCCGTGCCAGCGCTCCTCACTCAGTCTCTCATATTTCCCCAAAATTTTACTTCTTGTACCAGAACCATCCATATCACCCATTTAACCCATCAATGGTCACATTATGAATATGCACGTTAAGTTTCCTGGTCAGCAAAATGATTTACAGTATTTATTTTTATTTTATGTATTTATTTATTTATTTTCTTATAGCCCAGTCACTCCCAAATGACCCTAGTATACATGGAAAAAATAGTGAAACCATTTAAATGACTAACTTAAGTTCCCGCCAGGGTTTTGCAGACTTGATGGCGGTGAGGTGTTACCAAGCATACCCTGTGCACTCGTAGGCGTGACGTTTATACAGTGATAGCTTCGTTAGCCGGTACAATTGGTGCAGAGTACTTCTGGGAATGAGAGTGCTCCGGGTAACAGAATGACTCGCTCAAAGCCGGAAAAAATCCCTCATCCCCAGAATTTTCCGCTTCTGGAAAATTTGTCTCAGAATTTCCGGAAAATGCATATGATTTTGATCTCTCAAATCCAGAGTAAAAAATCCCCCATCCCTGGAATTTACAGGTACTGTACTAGGAAAATTTCCTTTGAATTTTCCAGAAAATGTGCCCCTCGGAAATTCGTTCCCAAAGCCTGAATTTTCTGGAAAATTATGGCTTTGGGAACAATTTTCCGAGAAAATTTCATTTCCAGCTATCGGAGAGTTCTGGTTAAGAGGGATTCCAGCTAATGGAGATTTTACTAATACTTTTCATGACTTTATTGCTACAAATTACTTACACCAATTAAATATAGTACTGTATTATTTAACACTGAATTGGCTATATCAGTGTGCACAATAGATTGTTTATATTACATGTGACAACATTGCTCCTGCATATGATCAACTGATAACAAAGTTGCCACGATTATTTTCCACATTAATTTTGATCATTCTTGCACTTATCACATTTATCTTTCAATGCTACACTTGCTAAGTTTTGTATATTATTTTATTGTCATCCATACAGTGCAATACTGTACAGTATAACCATTCCCACTTGGAGAGCAGGAGGCACATACAGAATGTGTAGGTCTTCATACACCTCTGTAGCATCACTGAGAATATTTTGTGAAGATTTTTGTTAATATGGTTAACATGGAAGCAAAATAAGCAGTACTGTATTTGCTTATGGTTTGAGTATTTGTCTTAAATAATATGTGAGCAAACAGTTCGAGTCTGGACTACTTAGATGGATGTAAAGATAAAAATTAGGCCTTTAAGAAAAAATGGATAGTACTGTAATTGTAAAATTACAAGCATTTGCTGAGGTTGATATTAACTCGAGACTTAACTGTGGCTCATGTGTTTTTATTGTACCAATTGATTTACTTTAAGACAAAAACAGTTTATTGAATACAATACTTTATATATGTTTGTCCATCCTCTTCACCTTGAAAATAAATTTACTTGCCATTGATTTAAACTTTTTGTGTATTTGTGCAAGTGATACAATTGAGCACTGGACCATTGTCTCCATGCTGTATTCATCTCCCTTACTTATTGATGAAAAGGTTGCTTTTATTTACCTATAGAAGAACTAATTTTAAAAAATTATTAAATGTTCAGTGCAATCACAACATGCCTATTCTCTATGATGCTGTTTGGTCTGATATCAGAACCTCACAAATAATCATTTGTAATATCTAGTGTGATGATAAATTTCTGATGTATTAAGTGCAAGTTTTTTTTTGTTACTTTATGGTTTAGTAGAGTGTGTTGAGACTTAAAGTATTAAGTATCATTACCTATTTATCTGTTTTTCTGGCTTTTCAGTGTGGGGTTATGGGCTTCTGTTTGTGACGCTCATATCTGGGTGTTCTTTGGCTGGGGTTTCGGTATTGCCGCTAATGGCTCATACATTTTACCAGCAACTGTTAACACTCCTGGTTGGTCTGGCTGTAGGTTCTTTGGCAGCTTCATCACTCTTCCATCTCCTGCCTCAGGTGAGTCATGATATATTTTTCAGTATTATAGGACACATGTTTATTTTGCAAAGGGCAATACTGTATATTATTTTATGTAATATATGAGGGTGTTTTACATGGATGTAAGATTAAATTTTATATGTTATACAGTAGATGAAAGGTTTTCAAGGGCAGCCTAAAGAATATCACCAATAAAGACCTTTTCCAAGTGACATCTGGGAGCCACGGTGAGGAGGGCTACAAGTATGAGTCTTCACTCATAGGAGGGTTCAGTGGGAGTATAAATCTATATCTGATGCTGTAATACACTGGGCCATAGTGTATGTCATCCAGATTGGCTGTTTGATTACAGGCAAAGTTAATATGCTGGCTGCAGTAGGGGATTCTGATACAAAAAAGGTAGATTGCAAATCAAAGATAGGAACAAGAACTTTGGATAAGCCCAGTGCTTGGGTTATGTACTATTTAAGTATATGGGGAGAGTGGATAGGTTTGTTTGTGTTCAACATGCCCTTTCAACAGGAAAACATTGAAATGGTACCAGACATAATGGCATCTCATGACTGAGGTGGCCCTGGTAAATTCTAAAATGTTCTATAATATTCAGCGCCCAAGGAGGAAATTGACACAGAGATGGTTCAGACAAAAGGTGATTGTTGGTTTGTTGGAAGGGTTTATGAGAAGAAAATAGGAAACAGCAAGGGGTCACTAGGCTTTCAGCATCACCTTTAGAGGATAAGCTATCACAGTGTAAGGTGAAAGTAAACAGCGCTGTATTGTAATTTCTGTCCAGGAAAATCCCCATTGTGTATGCCTTGTTTTAAGATATTTAGAAAGAAAACAAATACAAAAAGACATGTATGTGTGGTTAGGTTAGCAAGAAATGAATGGTGATAGTCATTGTCAGTTTGAAATGTCAATGTAGAGTTAATTTTATTGGTATTTACCTGTAACATACATTTTTACCATGGAAACTCTTGGAGCAAGATGTTGTTGTATGTTTATCACATGTTTGTTCTTTATTTTTTGTATAATAATAATTTGAATGTTCCCTGTAATGTATTTTTTCTTCCTTATTTATCCAAATTTTCAGGTGTATTTTTGTGTAAATTTAACTTATGTTAGAATGTAAACTGGTTGAATTGATATTGAATCATGTACCCCCAGATGAGTTCTTATACAAAATACATGTTTCTCAATAAGATTTGACCTCTCAGTAAGGCTGTTGGGTAGTTATTATGAGTTATTGAAGAACAATTGTCCCCAGTATTTTGGTAAAAACCTTATTTTACATTGTCTGACATGTACAGCAAAAAGGGTTAAATAAGATTATATTAATCAGCAAGAAAAGAATGTCCATTTTCAAATAAACTAGGTTAGGTTAGATTTAAATATAAGAAAGATTGGATATTTAGTTAGTTAAGGATTTAGAGAAGGAAAATATAAGGTTAAGTTAGTGAACAATACTATACAGTATATTAATAAAATCATTACACATCAATAAGAAAATATTAATTTTACTGTATTTCAGGATTTTAAAATTTAAAAATCATATTTCTTGGAAACTTATTTTCGCTCTTGCTGCGCTAGTGATGAGTGGCAATGGTGGCAGTTGCTTTTGCAGGCGATTGTTTTTTCCAAACCCAATTAGTTTTTACACAATCATAATTAATTAACTTATTTAGTTTCATTTGTTTAAATTACTGTATTTAATGATGAAACAAGCAACTTGGATGCCATACTGGTATAATTCAATGTATTGGCAATTTTAGGTCGTATTGGTCATCTTTTATACCTAAATAAATTAGTTTCTTCACAGTTTTTCATAATTCTTTTCTCTACATTAATGTGGTTTCATTCTTTTAAATTATCTTCCCATCCAACAAGCAACTTGGACATCATAACACATCCCCCAGTGTATCAGAAGACCTGAGATCTATACTCTCATTGGACTCCCTTTGACAAACTAAGAATAAAACAAAGAAGATGACAGACTAGCTCACCACTGCAGGCCTTAAAGGGTTGGGGGGCATCCTACACACACTCAGGTCCCAGACAGCTTTTTAATGAAGTTCCCAGCCAAAAGGTGTTGTCAGTAGTACATCAGAAACTGTAATCTATGTAAATCACTGTAAACAATTATCACCTCCGGGTGCTGGGTTTCAAATCTGGACCACCACGATTGGTAATCATGGTCTGTTGGATTACTCTGTAATAAAAGTTATTTAAGTTATATATTATGAATTGTAGAACTACCCCTTGGAATGTTTGCAAATTGAGCAGAATTGACTGGCTACTTTTTTACAATACAGTATTTAATCCAATATGGAATATCAGGATCATTAATGATTACAGTACAATAATAGATTTTGCAACCACCAAAATGTTCCAAATTTGGGAATGGCCAATTTGCTGAGGGATTACTCTATTTAAATTCCCTAACTTTTCTCTGTACTTTGTCACCCATTTTGGGTCTTACTTTTTTATATGGTACTGTACAGCTAAGTCTTCAACTTCTCTCACATTCCTTCTGAAAACCATCACCAGACTGTGAGCATCAATCTCCCAATACCTCCATTATGTACAGAGTAGAACACACATGGCAGTTACAAGTACAATACTGTATTGATATGCTTCTCTGCCCACTGCCGCCCAGACAGCTTTCCTCCTGCACCCCACCACTCAGACAGATTCAACAATGAATTGGCTCACCAATATCATCATTTATTTTTACTGAGGCATCTGTGAGTGATTTCTTTGAAACTTTCATATCAAGTATTTTACTTATTCTTTTACTTTCGTATGGAATTCTTGTTCTCTGTGTGTATTTTCTTGGAAAATTAATCAAACTTTTTCTTCTCAGGCTTTCAAATTGAGACAGAAGAAGGTATTTTGAAATGAGAGTATGAAATCTCTCAATCTGTACTGTCATTAGTTGTTAATAAGAGTGCATGGCTATTGTTCATCTTTATATAATATAAGTATTTTTATTTTTTGTTCTTGTATTCATTTAAGACATAAATTGGATAGTAATATCTCCGTTAGCCGGATTCCCTCTTAACCTGAACTCTCCCATAGCCGGAATTGAAATTTTCTCGGAAAATCGTTCCCAAAGCTGGAATTTTCCGGAAAATTCTGGCTTTGGGAACGATTTTCTGAGGGGCACATTTTCTGGGAAATTTCAATAAAATTTTCCTGGTACCCGAATTTGAGAGATGAAAATCAAGCAAATTTTCTGAAAGTTTTGAAGAAAATTTCCGGTACCCGGAAAATTCCAGAGATGGGGGATTTTTTCTGGTTTTGAGATACTGTACAGTGGTTCCTCGGTTAACGAGCACAATTCGTTCCAGAAGGTTGCTCGTTAACTGAAAAATTCGTAAACCGAAACCATTGTTTCAATGGGATTTTGGGTAATTGGTTCCAGCTCAACGAAAATTACATACAAACCAAAAATAAATGCAGTAAGGTACACTTACTTAGGTGTCTTAGGTGTGCATGTAGAAGGCTCCTGGTTGATGATGATGATGATGGGAATTGAAATGGGGGTGGAGGAGAAGGGAGAAGAGAAGTCATTGGGGTGGAAGAGAAGTCACCCCATGGCACCATTTCACCCATAAAATTTTAGTTCACTTCGTGTAATTCAAGATTATTTTCTTTAAATCAACACTGCTCTGCATTATATATTGTCAATATGTAAAATATATTTCAAAATGACCAATAATTTGACTGGAAACACAGAAAAAAAGCATTTATGTTGAAGAGTCTCAAACAAGATGTTCCTTCCTCTGAACTGGTAAACAAACTGACGCCAAGCTTGGTGTGTTGAGTGGCTGTTTGGCGCGCAAAAAGCTAGCTTCCTGTACTTCAATTATGTTCAATAATTGTTAAAATGACTAAAAAGTTTAATATAAAACTTTTAAAATTATTGAATATTACAACCTTTTTGATATTTATTAAAATGGTAAGGAATTTTAGTCTTAAAACCAATTACTGTATTGGCGTACTAATACTACAGCTGGTGGGAAGCCAAATGCAGCTGAAAACATGTTGGGAAAAATTCGTAAGGAATTCGTTAACCGGGGGTTTGTTCGTTAACCGAAGTGAAGAATCTTATGGAAGGTAATTCGTTAACCGAGGCGCTCGTTAACCGAGGGATCACTGTATAAAATAATGCCTCATTCTGGAAAATTCCAGTGATGGGGGATTTCTTTTTGTGTTCCAGAGAGGAAGTAATGCGCAATTTTGGGAACTTCCAAGAAAATTTTCCCGGTTTCCAAAAAATTCTGGGGATGAGGGTATTTTTTTTCTGGCTTTGAGATCGTCATCTCGTTGCCCAGAAATCTCTCATTCCTGGAAGTGCTCTGCACCAATTGTTGCGACTAACGGAGATATCACGTATATAATTTGTGCAGAACAGTATTTAATATTTTCATGGGTGGGTTAGAAAGTGTTGTGGCGGCACTGAGTGTGAGCTCTTTCAAGACCAACACTGGAGCAGGTTCAGGTACATTCAAGAGCCGATGCATGCCCAGTACTTGCCAACAGTGCGTAACAGAGACGTGACCGATCGCCCAACCGGCTAAGGAGTCGATCAGTGGTGAAGAGAATAAAAGCTAAAAAAGCTAAGAAAAAATAAATGTTTGGCAGAGAGTGAATCCATCTTGGTCAGTTGGTGTGGAGAAAGAGTGAATGGAAAGTAAAATATGACCATAGAGAAGTATAATTCAGAGGTAGATGATAGTGGGTGTCGAGTGATTTTAGAGGGAGGATGTGCTGCTAACGGGTGTTGCTGATTTGTGCAAAGTAACAGGTTTGTCAAATTTTGGTTTGGGGGCACCGATACTTAGCTGAGCATATCATTTAAAGTACTGTACTGTATTTAGATAAAGCAATTTGGGCTTGTTTTGGGTGACCCTGCTTAGAAGAGTTTATAGAAGCTACTGTATAATGTTTAAACCACTTTTCTCTTTCATTCTTTTTTGTGCTGTAATTATGAATGATTTTTATAGAGAATGAGGAGGATGTGGCAGATTAATAATACTCATTATTATTTTTAGTGGGACAGGGTTCTCACAACCTAGTGAGTTTGAACCATGAGAGAGCACTGTAATGGTTTCGTAAGAACAAACCTCTTCTATATTTCTTGGTTAAAATCAACAACTCAATACATTGTCAACACTGAATGATGGGGCTTATGTCTGTATGATTTTTCCTATTCTTACTGATTTGATATTCTGCATTGCTATCTATTATTATTCATTGCTTTTTATATCAATTGATTTCAACTGTGGCAGAGATAAGTTAGAAGAAAAAACCCAGTAATTAAAAGTCTTTCACCATCTTTCTTGATACCTGTGCTGGCCTTACTATTCTAAGAGTACAGAGAAACCTCACTACTATAATTGGAATTTGTGGAATGGAAGGGGTGATAAAGGATGCACATATATTTTTTGGTTTCCCATTAGGAAATTGTCATGTTACATTGATTCATGTAGCTATTAATTGTAGGTGATCTGGTATTGTATGTATAACAATGTGAATACTTTGATCTGTTCATGGACGTTTTCTTTCTTTTATTTCTAGGCTTTCCACCTGAAAGAGGCTAAAACTGGGCCTCATGGCTATTTGTTCATATCTCTTCATATTCTACTGGGGACCTGGTGTTTCTTCATGATTGAACGTCTAATCAAAATCATCTTAACTCATCATGCTTTAAAGGTATCATTTTAATGTACTTTTGTGATGAGGAAAAACTTTAATATTTTACAAGTTATCATTCAGTCTCGTGTATTTTTATGTTGCTAATCTTGATTTTGCTGAAATACTATATCAGATTATGGGTGTATATGCCACCAGAGGTATGACTGGATGCCAGTCAGATAGATTAGGAGGTAAGTGAAAGTGGAGAAAGTATTGGCTATGCAGACTTTAATTGATTAAGCCAGCAGAGTTTGTATAGTGAGACAACAGATGTAATATTTATACCTTGCAGGCCCTTAATGAGTGACCTGTGAGATCTGTCACTATAAAGGTCTCCTGGCAGTTCTTTCCATGTCATGGAACTTGTACTGCTCATTGGTGGGACTCGTGATCCATGTGGATAATGATTCCTCTCTAAGCAGTAGCTCTTCCAGCCATATCAGACACCTAAACCACTGATTCCAAGATAGTCTCACTTGATCAGTAAGAAATATATGCCAGGGTCTGAAGTCTGTCAGGCTTATTTACCTCGATCTTCCTGCACCCTTATAAGAGATCCACACCTAACCACTTCAGTTCCTGCTGCTACAACCTTGCTGATAACATCTGGTTTTCAGGTGGATAGACAAGGAAGGAGAATTGTCACTATTGCACTTTTATCATATTTACAGTAAACACACTGTGTCTGGACTCACTGGGGGAAGTTTGGTCCAGAAAACCTGAATTTCTGGAATGTAGAGGAGTTTTGGTACTCAAAATAAAACTACAGGAAGTCTCTATTGTCTCGCTGTTTATCACTTTTGTTATTAAGTCAGCAGTGAAATAGCGAAGATCACAAGCCATTCATAGTCATGTAAATATATATATTTTTTTTAATTTTGTAAGCTTTCGTTTTGCAGATAACAACATTTAGGATGATGAAAAGATTTTGACAAAATGAAAGAAATGGCCTCCCTTATTTAAATGGTGTTCAGAATTGACAATACTTCACTTAGATTTATAGTGTGGACCCTGCTTTTGGCTGAAAGTGGATTGGAACATGCGAACCTGACATAGTTTCTGCTCCAGACCTGGATACCTCACTGATTGGACGAGACAACCGCTAAATCCCAATTACCTGCCAGGTCGCCACCACAGACGTCACACACCTGCCTACACAAAATTCCAACACAGACTCCTGTTCAAACCGCATCAGCCTACAAGAGACACCACAACTTTCATGACATCATGCCTCATAGGCTTTCTCATTGGTTGAAAACAGGCTTAAGGCCTTCACACTATTGGCTCGGAATTGGCGGGAACTCCCGGGTGGCGGGAACTCATGACATTGTTACAATTATTATTATTATATATTATATAATATTATTATTGTTATTGTTATTATTATTATTATTAGTAGTATTATTATTATTATTATTATTATTATTATTATTATTATTATTAATATTATTATTATTATTATTATTATTATTATTATTATTATTATTATTACATTTTTGACCCCCCGGCCCCATTGTGGGTCAGTGACCTGTGCACGGGTGGGCTAATCCCCATAAAAAAAAGAAGAAAAGAAACAGGCTTTTTTCTCTCTCTCGACCCAAAAATTCGGGGTCAAACTATACAAGAGTATATGCAGTAAGCTAACTAACTCAGTGTAAGACTCCATTTGAACTAACAGTCTCTCAGCTCTAGAACTTTGTTCTATCTTACATTTACTCTCAACATCCACACCCTAAATACTTCATCAAAGTATCTTGGCTTCTAACTACCTTATCTCTATTGGTTTACACATCTGAATCATCTCCCTACAACATGTACAGTATAAAAAGTTTCATAACATGTTACCTCGATTTAATTGTAAGTCATCCATTTTAACCCTAATCTCAGTTTTTTGTTCAACCTCAGAATGCGACGCTTAGCTTTTAACCTAGGTATGTTAATGACTAGCAATAACTCGCCAGGCCAACATACAGGCAATTAAAACATCTTATAATTACTTAATAAGTAATATTAGGAGGACACGTCTCTACCTGGCATTTAATTGCAATTGTCGAAACCCCCCCTTCATCCCCCATCGCACGCACTGCCACCGTCATCTCTTGTCTGGCGATTCAGCTGTAAATACACACGAAGGAGAGCTCCGCGAAGATTTTATATACGGTATTTGTACTTATTAGCACAGTGATGAAGTAGAGTGACTTTTGTTTTGTTTTGTTATGTTTCTCAATTATTGTATTTGGGACAATTTCTTATACGATCTCTGGTCAGCATCATGGCGACTACAACGCGTCTTCTTTGTGAAGTCGTTTAGAGTGTTGTGACTATCCCTTGCCTTTAAGTCACTCAGTAAATGTCGCTGCGCCCTCCCGGGCTCGTCGTCACTGAAAGAGAATATGTGAATATATCTATTTATATATACATATATATGTATACTGTTTACGGTTTTCTTTGTCCCAATTATTCACGTGCTAGTATGAATGCCATGACTGTCTCGCTTCCTACTCTTATGTTCGTTCACAAAAAACCTTTGGGCTTCCGCCTTCGGTTTTCTGATTGCTCTCAGCATAAAGGCCAGAGTTGAGAGTTTCTCTTAGTAATTTTATTTTATTGATGTCCTCAGTAGTGGGTTCAGCCTTTCCAGGCGAACTTTAGCGAGGCTGCTAGACTTAGCATTCCTTCCGGAATGTTAACCTTCCGGTCTTCCTAGCAATCTAGAGTTATGTTGAAATGGACTTTACATCCTTATATGGGTTATATGAGAACAATTCATGGTGGAATTCTCAACCCAATAAGTATTGCTAGAGTAATAGTGAACGCTGTTGCCAATAGAGCGCTATGTTAGCGACTCAACACTGTCAACCCTGCCGGGTGATAGTGCGCAAGTAGAAATTTTCTCTTAAGTTATTACTTGGGGGATAATGTCTGTGCCCCTGATTGGCAACAGATAGAGATCTTGATGATCCCTCTAAATAAAATGTTCTAAATGAAATTATTTTATGTAAAAAAAAAATTTCATTGAGCTTAGGGATACTTGAGATAAGAGTCGGGAGAGAGATACGACATTGTGAGTTAATTGTTTATAATTGTCAAATGGTGACTTATATAACAATAAGAGATCTTAATGAACTAACTTACTAATAATATGACAATTTTGAGTCATATTTATTAAGTTTGGGAGAAAATGTTTTCTCCCTTATATTTTTATAATGATATAATGTGACTCATGGTGTCCTCCTAGTTTAGATGAGTGATGTGCAACTGGAGGATGAAGGACAGTAGTCCGGGCCTATGGATGAGACTATGGAACTATCCCTGAGGAGATACTATTGAGTGATGAGCTGCAAGGACTAGAAAGTTCAGCTCGGGCACTACACACAAGAAATTGAATTCAGTAGTAGTAGTTTCACCCAAGACCCAAGGGGGCCATACTACATGTAATTAAAAAAAATGTAGAACCACTTGGATTACTAAGGTAGATCCTCATGTGGCTTGCATAATTCATGGCAGCTGTGTCTCAAATAACCTATTTTCACCAATGGATTGTGCAGTTTCATCAAGCTACAGGTGATAAGAAAGAATTATTCCAGATCCAAATTAAAAATAGGTGGAATAAGGCCTTGAAGAGTAAATTTTTAAACGTAAAACAATGGAAAGATCCCAAGTTGGCAGAAAGTTTGGGTTTATTGGTGTTAGGTAAGAGACTTAATCCCCACTTAGACAAGCCTGCTTCTGCTAAAAAAAAAAAAAAAAAAAAAAGTTATTGGACCTTCCAGACAATGGGGCAGTAGGAAGTCTACACAAACCTCTAGCTACTCAGTCTGATTTCAGTGGATTCCAGGATCAGGACGATAGGCTGGTTCTAATCATAGTATTCAGTCTCTTGAGCAGGAAGAACCTGTTGAGACTGACTTCATCCTATCCATATTTTGGCAACCACTTCCACCTGCAGCAAGAGTGTTGGTTACTATGAGTGGAAACGGGCTGCTGTCAACTGCCACGCAGCTGATGGATAACATTGAGTGTAAGGATGATCCCAACAGGTCTTGGATAACATTGATAAGATCTAAGTCTTCTTTGTTTTCTACTACATCTGAATCTGTGGATTCCTTATTCAAGGTGTTTTACGAAAATGTTTCTAAACTTCCTGATATCTCAGCACTTACAAAGAGACAGGAAGGACAAGCAACTGTGGGTCATCATTCATTGTTTTTAGAAGGTGATACTACACTTTCTTGGCCTGATATTTGCCCAAAGATGATCTCTGAAATAGACGAAGTCTGGGCTAATGTATTGAAAGACTTAACATTCATTCCCACAGACAGGAATGCTCACAAGTTTATTTTATTTATTTTATTTTATTTTTTTGAAGTTCCAATTTAATGACAAAAAGAGTTCCTTGTAATAATGAACTTTCCCAGTATTTGTCGGCTCCAAAATATGCTGATATAAATTATAAAAACAAACTAAAAATGAAACCTGTTGCCCCTGCACTGCTGCTTGAAAAATTTAAAATTAGGAAATTGGCAGCAGATATTTGGTCTGCAATTATGATGTGTCAGTTATTAACTAAGTTTGTGCTGGACTATGAAGAAAATTCAGAAGTGGACAAATGTTTTGCTGCTGCTTTACAAAGACCCCATATTCCCTGTACAACTCATTTTTAATATGTTGTTGAAAGCCCTAACACTAAAGCCTAGCTAAGGAAGCAAGCCACAAATAATGCTTCAAGTGGTAGTGCTTATTTATTGCTTTGCTCTTCCCCCCTTTCTCCTGCTTTGTTTGATGAACAATCATTGGTTAAATATAGATCAGCTGTTGAACAAGCTATTAACATTACTGTTCCCAGAAGTCCTCAGACCTTTTGGAAATCTAAAAGAGAAAGGCTTTACAGGGGAACAGGACCAGCTGCTCGGTTCAGTTATCAACCAAGAGAAAACTTTAGAGGAGGAAATAATCAAAGACGTAATAGGGGTGACCGTTTGTTCAGAAGCGGAAGGAGACCTTATTCCACCATATCAGCATCCACTCCCTTCCAATGAAGCCAGACAGCTAGGTCGTCTAGGGGGTTGGGAAAACAGATGGACTTCTTCCATATAGGCTTACAAGACAATCAAAGGGGGCCTCACATGGACTTGGTTGAAGCGCCCTCCCCTAACGTTTCCAAAAAAGGGTCAAAAGCCAACCCCCTTACTTACAGAATTTGTAATTCAACTACTAAACAGAGGTGTCATAGAACTGTTAGTCAGAAATGTTTCATGTCTCGCCTATTCCCAGTCCCCAAGAAAGGCAGCGACAAATTAAGATGGATTTTGGATCTTTCAGTCCTGAACAAATTTATTGCCCCCCCCCCCCCAAAAGTTTCAAGATGCTCACTTACGATCATCTGAGGCATCTACTTCCGCCCAATGCTTGGATCTCAAAGTGGATCTCAAAGACTATTATCACATTCCTGTTGCCCCCAGGTACAGAAAGTTTCTAGTGTTCAAAGTGGGGATGTAAGTTATCAATTCACAGTGATGGCTGACGATTGCACCAAAAGTTTTTACAAAACTGGCGAACATCCTCAGAGAGATCCTTGTGAAGGAGGGCATAAAATCCTTTGCTTATCTAGACGTCTGGCTAATAGTGGGAAACTCTTTTGAAGATTGTCAAAGGGTGACCCAACGTACACTAGTACTGTACTATGTCAAAACCTGGGATTAAAGATAAACCAGGTCAAATCAAATTTAATACCATGTCAAAAGTTGGATTGGTTCAGTCTTCAGTGGGATATAAATCAGCAGTCAGTCAGTCTACCAGAAGCAAAAGTAACAGATGTGATAAACCAAAGTAGAAGCCTTTTGTGTAAAGCACAAGGTTTCTTGGCACGATTGGGAAAAACTTTTGGGTCTGTTGAATTTTGCCACAATAGTGGTTCCATTGGGAAAGTTAAGGAAAAAGCAACTATCTCACCTGGGCTCGAAGTTGCTTCACAGAAGCAGAAATATTGCTTCTTCTCTCCCTATTCAGATATAGAATCATCTGTTATGGTGGACAAAGTTGGACAATCTAATCGGTTCCTCTCCCTGGGTTCCGCCTCAAACAGGTTTGGTCGTTTGTACGGATGCGTCCGAAATAGGATGGTGGATACCATTCCTCAATAGGGGAATTCAGTCAAGGGAAGTGGAGCAACTTCCTTTGGGACAACATAAACGTAAAAGAATTGGCAGTGGTCCTATTCTTTTTGTCGGCAAACCCAAATTTACAGAATATGGCGATCCTGTTTGCCATGGGCAACAGAACGGCAGTGTTTTGTCTCAATCACCAAGGCTCAACCAGGTCTTGGCCCCTTCTACAGCTGTCAGAAAAAATCTTCAGTGTTTGTGTAACACAAACACTTCACCTCAAAGCAACTTATATACCGGAGTACAAAACAATTGGGCAGATGTGCTGTCCCGTCTCCGGCCAGTATCGACAGAAACAGAATGGTCCCTAAAGGTATCAGAGTTGAAGAGTCTAGTGAAGAAGTTTGGAACTCCAAAGATAGATCTCTTTGCCTCCCTAAAAAATCACAAGATACAGCCTTGTGCATCTCTGGAAAGGTTGAATCTTTTAGGAAATGCTCTACTCTTAGATTGGAACCTTTGGAATTCAATCTATCTGTTCTCACCTGTGAAAATATTGCCCAAAGTGGTTCACAAACTCAGATCTTTCCAAGGCAAGGTCCTCTTAATTGCACCATATTGGATCATACAACCGTGGTGCCTGGATCTGTTGGGCTGGTGCCCAAATCCGCTACAATTGCAACAAGGATGTCTAGACCAGGTACTACATTCTCAGTTCGAGATATCCTTGGCAATTCACACTTGGAGTTTCTCAAAAGGAGTTTTAATAGGTTGTTGGGTAACCCCAATATAGCTAACCAAGTATTAGCAGGTCATAGACCTCAAACTTCTATGCAATATGAGAAAACTTGGAATCTTTTTCAACAATTTATCCATTTAACACCTCCAGAATAATTGTCGGAAACAATTGTGTTAGAATTTTTTGAATTTCTGTTCAGAGTTAAAGGCCTTCGAGGATCGGCAATTGCATCTTATAAATCGGCATTGGTTGGCTCTCTGGCCAAAGAGAATCCCACCTTGGTCTCTGGAAAAAGTTACTAAATATTTTATGGGGCCTAATTACAATATAAATCTGAACAGGGATAAATTACTACAGAAGGCAGCCTTCCTTCTAGCAATAGCAACAGGTATGAGAATAAATGAACTGATTTCAATTTCCAATAATCCATCATTATTGGTATTTTCTGAGTAGGATGTTACCCTTTTTCCTACTGAGAACCTAAGAAAAAATGAAAGGGAAGATTTCCAAGCTCAACCTATTAGGATAAAATGCCTAATGGATGAGACAAGGGTTGTTCATATATTGTGCCCAGTTAAAAATCTTCAGGAATGGTTATCCAGATTCCCTAATCGAGGCCCCTATGTTTTCTCATCCAGGGATGGTAAGAAATTGTCTTCTAGTCAAATGACAAAATCTTTATTCAATTAGTGAATCAAGCAGACCCTGGCAAATTTTTGGCACATGATACTAGGAAATACGCAGGGTCTGTGGCCTTTCTGCGGCATATGAGCCTCAGTCAGATCAAGGAAATGGGCTTTTGGAGATCTTCAAAAACTTTCAAAGACAGCTTTTTCATCACCATAATAAAGTGAGTATCCTAATTGAGATATGTAAATTAACATTTTACCTTCCAGTAAATGTTCCTAATTTTGGAAATATTCTACATGGTTTACAATATAATCATAATCTGGATCTAAGTTAGCGGAGCCTTGTATGCAAAGTCACCTCCCTCTCCACCTCCTGCTCGGGTATTCAAAGCTAAGCATCGCATTCTGAGGTTGAACAAAAAGCCGTTTTATTCTAAAAACCAGTTTTTGTGATATAACCCGGAATGCGACGCCGATAACCCACCCATCTACTCCTCGAGAGTTGACTTTTGTTTACCGCTCGCTCTAAGGCAAGAGTTGACGGTGGCAGTGCGTGTGATGGGGGTGTAGGGGGTTTCGACAATTGCAATTACTTATTAAGTAATTATTAGATGTTTTAATTGCCTGTATGTTGGCCTGGCGAGTTATTGCTAGGCATTAACATACCTAGGTTAAAAGCTAAGCGTCCCATTCTGGGTTATATCACAAAACTTGTTTTTAGAAAAAACTTTTTTTTTTTCAGAGATTAGCCCACCCGGGCACAGGTCATTGACCCACATCGTGGCCTGGGGGGCGAAAATGTAATAATAATAATAATAATAATACGGTAATAATAATTCAGATAAGTACAATTTTTAATAAAAAATAAAAATAAGCCATTTTTTCTAAAGACCAGTTTTTGTGATATAGTCCAGAATGCGACGTCAAGCTATTCCTAGAGTATACTGTATATTAGATTATTGGTTAATATAAAAGTTGACATGCAAATGTTTTATTGCAGGAGGAAAAGAAAAAATTTCCTACATCACGTTCTGATCAAGCCATACTTAATGAAAATGGATCTGAGCAACAGTCATCCAACAAAGTAGATATGAATGGTGCAATAAGCAACTACAAACAAGGATCACTTAGTACAACTGAGAGCTTCGAGGGTTCTGAACTTGCGTCTCATGATGGTGGATGTGGGCAAAAAAATATTGATCTGATTTATGCATCACAGGAACAGGCAATTAAAGCGTCATTTGGACACAGTGAAGTAGGTTCTGCATTTTCTTGGTAATTTAAGCTTTTGTAATTGTTAATTTCACTGCTCATATTACTCTCAGCCACCACTCTCATTTATTCCCTTAGTTTAATGTGTTTACTGTACTTGATCATCATTTATGACTCGCTTTATTATCTTCTGTCATTAGTTTCCTCCTGTTCAGTCAGTGACCCTTGATGTACAGAACTGTACACACTGCTAGAGTCCCACCAATAGATAGATGCACCAACTCTGTCAAGTGTTGTCTTTTTTAATTGTTTCCCATCACTATTTGTTCCATTGCTCTCATTGTACTGTCCTGTTAATTTTTTTCTTGGCCTCCTTTTGATCTCATCCTACACAGTCTACTTTCAGTACAGTACATTGGTTTGATGATGGAGGGGTTCAAGGAGAGAGTTGCTGATTAGACCATAATTTGGATATTAAGCTATGTACTGTATGTAATTTAAAAGTTATAAATAAATTTCAGGTCCAGTGACAAACGAAAAAATTTTGGAGGATAGAGGATTTGGAATAAAAAAATAAGCAAAGAACACAATAGGATTGTAAATTTGGGTAGGCCATCAATCATGCTGAGAGAGGTTACAATATAAGTAACTTCTGAGGATCAGGCTGCTAATTGAGGTGCACTGTATGGTGGTCTCCTCTTGTATGTCTGTGTTGCCCTAGTTTATTAGTTATAATTACTTAAAATAGTCCTAGATAATGCAGGATGTTACAGTCCTGGGAACAAAGTGTACCTAAATTTTTGTGCATTTTACTATAGAAGAAATAATGAAAAGTTATATTTCCTAATATTGCCAAACAAAGAAAACAAACAGTACAGTATGCTGGAAATTTGCATTGGGGTCAGAATGTACACAAGCTCAGATATAAACATTGTATAAATGAAATAAAAGAACAACATAATAGAACAATTTTACCGTTTATTTATGAAGACCATTTAAGACTAAAGTCCTGTGGAGTGTTGCATCACACTTGTTTTGGAGAAGTAGGCTCCCTCGAGGTCTTGAGAGGGAGCCTGGTGCCAAGGGAAGAAAATAAGTTTGATGCAGGGGTGATGGAGGGCTACTGTATGAAGACTTGGAAATACAAATACAAAAGATGTAAGTTAAGAGAATTTTTGGAGAACTGGAGGATAGGTAGATGCTTGATAGCACACAACTCTTCAGACTTCTTATAAGCATCAAACATGGTAATGAATCTTTGGTCAATCTGTTTTCAGCATACAACAGTTCCATGTATCAACAGTAAAGTAGCTATGAGCATGCTGAGGTTTACCTAGAATTGCTGAACTGCACATTAACCATCAGAGCCATTTGATAGTGATTATACATAAATTGGTCTGACTTATTATAACTTAGTTACACTTTGTGAACATGTATGCCATAGCATATGTGGTTTTACCAGTAAACCCTTTATACAAGCACAACTGTAGGTGATCCAGAGATCACTTGATCCTCCAATAAGAGCTATTTCTCAAATTTAAGGGATTAGAGGTTACAGTTTGCCTTTAAGACATGGGAGTGTAGTAAAACATGATGCACAGCTCAATTTTTTCACTGCACAGATTACATCTCATTAGGATATTATAAACTAGATTTACAAAGAGCCCCCTCAGCCCTTCATTAAGCTGAAGAAATACTTGTCTGTGTAATTATTCTTCTCGCTGTGATATAAGGTGAATGTGTGCCTCCTTAATTCTAGTTAGGCTGGACCGTGTAGTTACTGGTGGTGTGGAAGATAAAATTGGATGATTTCCTTTCTTTAAGTTGGTTTGTGAGTGTTTGTTTGTAATGACTTCATGTTGTACCAGCTTGGTGGTAAAAGGATGACATCTTTCATGCTACATATCTAATCTGTAGGGCTATATCCAGTCCATTGCTTTCAACAGTTATTTTCTGGCAAGCCGTGTCCCAGCCCAAAATTTCTTAACTGTTACTCTGATATTTTAAGGCGGTGGTTGTGGTATGATACACATGCAGAGCACATTTTTTATAAGACTTACAGTAATTCACACCTTAGGATACATCAGGTAAGTACCAAATATTTCTTACTATGAATTGTTCTGTATTTTCCACATTTTACCTGTAAACATTATGAAAATTTTTTGAGGCCTGGTGACTGGTGCATTGTCTTGTTTTCATTGAGCAGCTTTGAGAGTTTCTTTTCCTAAAATATGTACTGTACTACAGTATGTCATCCAACAGTGTGCATTCCCTTAGTCTAGTAAGGATGTGGTTCAAATTATATTTAGTATTCCTCTTTAATATTGAGTCAGAGGATGATTGGAGACACGGCATTGTACAATTATCCTCACTTCTCAAGTTACATGTGAGGATTTTTAAGGTAATTAGGTTACCCAACTTAAGGGAGGTTAGGTTAGGTTTGGTTTCTGGTTTGAATGTGAGGAACCATAGTTTTTGTAAGGTCTTTATTAAATTGCACTTACAGTTTTGCAGGTCTCATTCCATTAGGTCACCTTTAATGTGAATTCATGAGTTTAGTCCCGGACGAAAGTTCTCATTACAGTCACGGTGGATGGTGTAAAGTCGGCCCACCCTTACTGGACGATGGGTCTGCTGTTGTAGCGAAAACTTTCGTCCGGGACTGTACAAAATCTGGAAAATGCAAATAAAAGCAAAGTTTGGTATAAAAAAAGTTAACCTCTTCTACATTGTGTCTACAGTTTTAACATTTTCTATTGTTTTAACAGCGACCACAGAATACACACTCCCACAACTACGCCGAAGAATTCAAACAAGGTGAAGACTCTGTCATTAAAACTGTTGCGTGGATGATCATCTTTGGAGATGGATTTCATAATTTCATTGATGGAGTGTCCATTGGAGCAGCATTTTCTGAATCAATATTAACAGGAATTTCCATAAGCTTGGCAGTTATGTGTGAAGAACTACCACATGAATTAGGTGAGTAAGTAATGCAGGGGAAGTAAGAATATCAATACTGAGCCTTGAGTGAGAATAACTGTGAGGGGGAGGTGCTACATGTATATCTTGGTGATGCTGCTTGTATACAGTTGTTTAAAGTAACTGACAGCAATACATTCGTATGTTAAGTTTATTTAGTTATTTAAATTAAATTTATAATATTTTTTGTTTTTTATTGCCACAGGTGACTTTGCAGTACTCTTGAATGCTGGTATGACCATGAAACAGGCTGTTTCATATAATTTTTTGTCTGCTACAACCTGTTATCTTGGTCTTATATTTGGCATATGTTTAGGAGAGTTTACACAGGACACCACGGCCATATTTGCCTTGGCAGCGGGGATGTTCCTCTACATAGCTCTGGTGGACATGGTAAGCATATGCCGTAATGACTTAACAGTAAGAGTAGAAGACAGAATGATGTAACATGAACCTTATATTCACACCAGAACAAGATGATCATTGTCTGATATGCAGTTTTTCACCATATTGAATGATTGCTCATTCAGATCTAACCAGTACAGGTGCTCCTCTACTTATGAACGCGTTACATTCCTGAGGCTTGTTTGTAAGTCCAACTTTACTCTTGTAGATACCAAACATATTGTAAAAAATGAAAAGATTATTGATATTTAGTACAGCTATACCCTTTAATACAGTCTTAAAACCTGGCTCACTCTTCTCCTCTTAGGTAATGTTTGTTCTATCTGGAATTTTCTTCAAAATAATCCAGTCTCATCCACATTAAACACCTGTTCTGGAAGGTAACCCCCTTCAGTGATGATGTTTGTATCTCTGAAAGTTTGTAAGTTGAACGTTCTTAAGTAGAGGAGCACCTGTACTTCAACCCATACTTTTCAAACTGAATATCGATATTTCCACCCTAGCTTTGATCTCTCCATTGATTATCAGAGCCAGGTGGTTAGAGCAATCACCTTGGTTGTGATCTCCATTCAGGAAGGTATCTTCATAAACAAGAGACTTTATTGCACAGTAAACCCTTGCCCTTCACGAGGGTTAGGTTCCAAGGAATGGCGCAAATTGGCAAAACCATGAATAGCAACTTATACTACCTTAGTGCTCTAATATACACCTATACTGTGTATGAGAAACTCAAGTCACCAATACTGCTTATATTCATATGTGGAAGTTTGGATCTTAATGAAGTGGTGTACTGTACATAGGGAGACATCTGGTTACTGAAGCATAGGGGGATCATCAGGATCACTGTTGGAAGAGGGTGTTGCAATGGTGGTTGGTGGAGAGGCAGGTGGTGGAGTGGTGGTTGGTGGAGAGGCAGGTGGTGGAGTGGTGGTTGGTGGAGAGGCAGGTGGTGGAGTGGTGGTTGGTGGAGAGGCAGGTGGTGGAGTGGTGGTTGGTGGAGGCAGGTGGTGGAATGGTGGTTGGTGGAGAGGCAGGTGGTGGAGTGGTGGTTGGTGGAGAGGCAGGTGGTGGAGTGGTGGTTGGTGGAGAGGCAGGTGGTGGAGTGGTGGTTGGTGGAGAGGCAGGTGGTGGAGTGGTGGTTGGTGGAGAGGTGCACAGCTGGGGGGCAGGTGGCTGGGTGGAGCAGCGGCGGTAGCAGCTGACTGAATGAGGGAGGGAGACGAATCAGCTGGGTGAGCAGCTGGTTCTTTCTTGAAAAACATCATGATTGGTAGTTGTTTCCTCTTGGTTTTGAGGTCTTTAAACATTTCCTGGTAGGGAAACAATACCTGGTTGATTTCTCAGACCATCTTAAGTCTACGTTCCATGGAAGGGTCGTGGTCAACAATGAAATCAATTACCACCTTCACATGTCGAAATAGTTCACCAAAATTTTTCAAGCCCCAACCTTCTTGTTGACAATTCCATAATTTCTACTGCTTCATCTTCCTCAGCACTTCTTACCAATTCTTCCAAATTCTGTTCTGTCAATATCTTTCCATGCCCATCAATCAGCTCTTCCACATCTTCAGTGGCCATGCCAACCAACCCCTCACCACCCAATTGACAGGCAACACTCACAATGTCATTCACATCCTTTACTATGGACGGAAATCCCTGGAATTTATTCGCACACTGAGGCCATAATGTTTGCCAACAAGCATTCACTGTCTGGTTTGAGGTCATTGAATGCTTCACTGATGTTGGTAATGCAGTCTGCAATGCTGTACTCCTTCCAACACTTGCTTACATCAAGGTCAGGGTCTGCGTCCATGGCACTACGGATCCGACCAAAAGAGTGTCGGGTGTAGTATGCCTTGAAGGTGCGTATTACACCCTGATCGAGGGGCTGAATAAGAGCAGTGGTGTTAAGGGGTAGCGCCACTTTAGCACTTGCAGGAGCACTCGCTTGAACAGAATCACAAATTTTTTGTTCATTCTTTCTTATGTACCGCACTGTGGATTCGTTCACACCAAACAGCTGATCAGCCGCAGCAGCAATCATCTCCTCCTTTAACTTGTCTAATAATTCAACATTCTTTGTCAGGGTCATCACTGACTTCTGCATTTTACGTTTCACTTCACTCGCATCACTAGCACTGACACTAGGCAGTCTTTTAGGGGCAATTTTCACTCGGAAACACTAAAGTTTTGAGAGTACAACATGAGTTGCTGCGTCACAGGCAATGGTTGAGCGCGAACAGGGGGAGAGGAGATGCTGTGGGCGCATAGGGTGACTTGTTGCACTGCGGGAGAGGCTTGCAACCTAGCCGCCATCTGCTTACCGTGAATCGCAAACCCGCAAATGGCAAGGGTTTACTGTACAGGCATTTTCTTACCCAGTATTTACTGGCTGCACAGTGTAAGTGTCAACAGTGGGTGTGGGTTATATCCATGATGGGATGCTTAAGGTTCAAGATAATTGAGGTCATGACATGGATTTTCAAACATTTGCATAATAATTTTCTTCCTATAACTAGGAGTTTAAAAACACACTACTATTGAACTTAAGAAACTGTACATTTAATGTGGGTCAGAATAACTTTGTAATGCTCTAAGACTAGATATATTGTAACATTTTATTTACTGCACCACCTCTTTACTTTCACTTAACAGTCATTTCACATCTTGGTACCTTATATCACATTTCCTACACCTCTTCCTCCTGATGACTCATATATCCTCTAAATACACCACCTAAAGTATCAATTAGTTTTGGATGTTTCTCTTGCTCTGATCATATAGCTGTTATTTATCTCTAAAGGGGAAAACTTTCAATGTTTGGCTAAATTTTGCCTTATTTACCCTACTTTTTGGGCGAATTACTACCTGTAATAAAGCAACATCCTAATAAACCAACAAAAATAATACAGATAAAGTTAAATAAAATTTAAAAACATCACAGAAAAAGTTTTTATGTTCTACGTCTTCAGCTAGAGTTGAACCTGATGACTTGGCAACTTCATCATTCAAGTAAAAACACACACAACAACATTGGCTGTCCTTGTTTTGAACTTTACCACCACTGGTGGGTAGATTTTTTTTTAAATTCAGAAACATTAATTAAAGTATATATGAAGAGTAAATAAGTGTTGCTTTCATATTCTTATGTAGAACAATGATGATATGTTTTCACATGTGCTCACTTACATATGCAATCTCACTTTTTTTCTTTACCATTAATGGTTAGCTACTTCCTTTGTTCCATTTTTAACATTAAATAACATTACTTAAAACAACCATATTAATTTTTTACATTAATTTTACTACAGCTACAACCAGGGTCTTATTTTCTTAATTTTCTCGTGTAGAACTATCGTCCCGGACTCCCGGCTGTAAACACAAACGAAAACAATGGCGTCCCATCTCCTCTTGTGTGACCATATTATTATTCATTTATATTGTATAAGATGCATTCAGAAACATTATTTAAAGAATATAGTTTTCAATTTTCATTAATTGTATTGTTTTGGGGGGAAAAGAGGGTAAAAAGCCACACAAAAGATATGAAAAGGTCACTCTTGGGAATGCATCTCATTATTATTGCTTTATTTTAATGGTAATTAATGATTCGCAATACAGTGATTCACCTTACACTGCAATATTGAAGGCCACATTAACGTCATTATTCGAGGCTTTGCTGTACCTGGAAATTTTCTCAGAATTTCCGGAAAATGTGTCTGATTTTCATCCTTGGAATTTGTTCTCAAACCCGTAAAAAAAAATTGGAGAGAGTTTCCTGAGCAATTTTAATTCCGGCTATCGGAGAGTTCTGGCTAATGGAGATACTGTATTACAATGAGAAAATGTAAAGGGAATGATTTCATTGACCTCATATTTTATAATCTTGTAAATTTGATTTTGAACCTTTTAATACTAGACCTTCAGATGATTTATGACAAAAGTATCATTGTTGTGATAAGACAATTGGCATTTGGTACCATGAATTTAAAGCTGTGTACCAAACATCATACTAATACAGTAATGGAAAGTCAATAATTGGTATACACTCTGGAGTGAGAAAGAAGGCTAAAGGAGTCTCAGAATCAGATTGCTATCATCATTTTGAATGATTTGGAGTTATTTACACCTAGTCACCCTCCTACCCCCTCACCCTTCCTCCTGCCCTCAGTGGTGCCTCACCTCTCCTCCTGCCCTCAGTGGTACCTTACCCTTCCTCTTGCCCTCAGTGGTCCCTCGCCTCTCCTCCTGCCCTTAGTGGTCCCTCACCTCACCTCTCCTCCTGTCCTCAGTGGCCCCTCACCTCTCCTTCTATCCTCAGTGGCCCCTCACCTCTCCTCTCGTCCTCAGTGGCCCCACACCTACAACATCACAGTCTGGCTCACCACCTACACAAAGGCTGCAACACCACCACCACCTCTTTCATCACAACAAACAACCAGGGCTCAGCAGTTGCCAGTTGCACTCTGCCTCACTTATAACTCACCACCCATGATGAATACAAAGTTTTTATTTGTTATTTTTGCCTTCTAAAATTTATATTTTCAATTTCAAGAGGATTTTTTTATATGCCTTTTTTCTCTCTCTCTCTCTCTCTCAATACTGTAGATGGGGGAACTCTTGATTTCTCAAATACTACAGTTATTGGGTTAAAGTATTTCAATGATCTGTGTTGGGATTCAGACTTGTTGAAAGTACTAATGGATTGTATCATAAATGAATATAAATTGGTTCTGTGCACTTAATCTTGGAAGGTGTTTGGCATTATATCCACTGTAACCGTTCTCATGATCTTCTCAGGTGCCAGAGATGAATGAGGTTGCCAACAAAGCAGCAGAAGAAGGTTGGAAGAGTGCAGTTATTATTCTCTTGCTCCAAAACCTTGGTATATTTATTGGCGTCGCATTGCTCTTCATTCTAGCATATTTCCAGGATGCTATGGTTCTTGACTGACAATGCTCTTAGGACCTGTTATGTAAACAATTATCTAAGAGGTTTGTGTGTTTCTTCTTCAGTATATCAAGGTTAATGTTCCATACTTGATTGACCTTTATGTCACTTTTGATTTTATATGTTTATTTTCGAATTCACATTTGAAGATTAATAATTTTTATTACAAATACAGTATTGAACTTCTGTGTTGTACAGGTATTGTATTATTTCATTATCTTTCCCTAATTGTATGTATCATTTATGTTTGGAATGTCACCAATGGGAGAGTAACCAAAGACTGCCTTATAGTGTTATTGTTGTCATGGGAAGTGAGATAATTAGAAGGGGCTCATACTGTGTGTTCAAGGAAGTAAAGATCTGGTATTTTTTATAGACAGTAGAACCTCACATGTTTATGTACCATATCGTATTGACCGACATTGTGATCAAGTTGACAATTTGCCAACTTAAAATGTATGGTAGCTTATAATAAGGGCAGCTAGGGGGTATGAACAACACTATACAGGTACTGTATATACACAGTATTTATGAACCATAATTATTAGTTATACATTAAATTACGATATGACGAAGGGGCCACTGACCCTAGTGAAAAAGATGGTCCCTGAGGCTTGAGGGCCTAGTGTGGTACGTGCAGCAGAGAATACTACCTGAGCCTGACAGCCTATTAGATGTAGTAAAGATGCACCACTTAAGCCTTTGTTATACAAGATGAGCCTACCACCTTCACTGGCTCCTTTATAAAGTTAAATACCCATTCACAGCTGTGTTGGCTTCATTTGCCCTGGGCATACCAAGATGGTGGCTGCATGGGTCACATATGTTGCGGCAGTGGCGACGTCTCTGCCCTCAGCAGCAACTCTGTCATTCTTTATGTTCCCTTCCATGTTTTATCAACTTCTGTTGGTACGCCTCTTCTTAGGAAGCTTTGGGTAGGCTTGTACAATAAAGCTGCAGAAATATTGTTTGTAAGATAGGCAGAGGGATCTCAAGCATAGATACACTGAGGCGTCCCACCTAGCTCACTCTTGACTTCATCAGTCAAGCTGGAGAGCAGATGCCGTTCGGTGTAGTTAGTTATTTTTTATGTACTGTATTGTATTTAAAAAAATTGCATAATTAGATACATAATAATAATAAAAACACAGCAATTAGAAAATGGAGATTTTTGCAAGTAGAGGCGCTCAAAATTGGTTTATAAAAATTTATTATTTTGTCAGGGAAAAAATTGCTGCATGACATCCAAACTTTCATATAGCACAGGAATGGCATGAGGCTAGACTTGTATTTTCTGCATTTCCATATGTTTTCTTGTAATATTCTAGGCAGAGGGTCTCCTTAATGTTTTGTTAAATATTTTCATGGGTATTTATTTTATTTTTTATTTTTTTGGTGAATTTTGGTGAAAATGGCAGTGTTGCATTTTTAGAAGTATCATAATACAAGTCAGATAATAGTGAAGTAAAAGTAAACTAAATCATAGTTCAAAAACTTGGTACATGAAATTGTGAAGGTTCTACTGTAGATCTTGCTGAGAACTGTTAGAGAATATTATGGAATAATTTTAAGAGATTTTGTAATTATATCGTATTCTCCCTCCTTGAATCACTTCTTAGTGTGTCAAATGATCTTAATCTTCATACTACTTAAATGAGGAAAACTTGAAATAATACTCGTGATATACAGTACAGTATACAGTAGATTGTTTACTGGTGTCGCATTTAAGAGTGTTGTTGTATATTTTATTTGAAACGTCTCCCTGATTTAATTTAGTGCTCCCACATATGTTCTGAGAGAGGATTTACTGTAGTCACTATTTTGTTCACCTGTCTGTTGTCTGTGCAGCTGCCTCATATTTCATGTCAAATCGATAATTTCATGCCCATTGAAGAAATTCAAATGATGCTGTACCCCAATGTGTGGCACACCAAATTCTGGATGAAATGTTAGAGGTCAAAGGCATGGGCGAGGGGTTCAAAGGTCAGTGGAAGAAAAATTGTGTGAGTGAGTAAGCGAGTGAGTGATAGGTGTGTTTGTGTAATATATTATGGTTGCATATATTTTAACTCCTGAATATATACTGCATATGTATGTATAAAATTTGACATTTTTTTTATATATTGCTAAACCATTGTATCTCATTTTTATCTGTAATGTTACTTTGACTTATTGCCCTCGTTCAAAGGTATACCGGTACATGTTATAATATTCTTCAATTTTATAAGTGTTTTTGGTATGAATATAACCTTACTCAAGTAGGTATCAATATATTCTGAACTATTTTAGCCTTTGTTTACATCAACATTAATGTGATACAGTAGTTCCTTCAACCCTACCAGAGGAAAGAATCCTATATTGTGCAGTATATTCAGTATCCACTCTCTTGGCTGCTGTATCCAGTAATCTACCGTACATACCAGAATCTGGTAGGGTGACTCGGCCATTGTCTTTCCAGTCAGTGTGTTTTATGTATTTCTGTGTAGTAGGTAGTAGGCAGCTATCAAATGGAGGTACTATCGTCTGGGAAGATATTGGAAGCATAATGTGTTGTCTAATGGTAGACCCTGTTGCCATATGGCATCATAAAAATTGTGAACAAGTCCCAGGTTGCTGATCTGACTTTCTGCCTCATTTACACATAGTTGTTTCTCTTACTTTGACAGCACAATTTACATATGTACAGTGACCCCTCCGTTAACGAACTCAATCCGTTCCAGAAGGTCGTTCGTTAACCGAAAAGTTCGTTAACCGAAACCATTGTTTCAATGGGTTTTTGGGTAATTGGTTCCAGCTCACCGAATATTTCCTAAATTCAACAAAAATGGTAGAAAAGTTCACTTACTTTGAGGTGTGTATGTAGAAGGCTCCTGGATGATGATGATGATGATGGGATTTAGAATGGGGGTGGAGGAGAAGGAAGAAGAGAAGGCATTGGGGTGGAAGAGAAGTCACCCATGGCGCCATTTCACCCATAAAATTTTAGCTCTCTTGGTGTAATTCAAGATTATTTTTTTAAATCAACACTGCACTGCATTATATATTGTCAATATGTAAAATATATTTCAAAATGACTTGGAAACACAGAAAAAAGCGTTTAGTTGAAGAGAGTCTCAAGCAAGATGTTACCTCCAGTGAAAACAGAGAGAGACTAACTCCTGTTTGCTGTGTTAAGAGGCTGGATGCCGCGCATTAAACTAGTCACTTTACCTTCAATTATGTTCAATAATTGTTAAAATGACTAAAAAATTGAATATTAAACTTTTAAAATTATTGAATAGTATAAACTTCTTGATATTTACTAAAATAGTAAGGAATTTAAGCCCTAGAACCGATTAATGTATTGGCGGACTGATACTAAAGCTGGTTGCCCGGTCAGTGCAAGCGAAAACATGTTGAGGTCGGTTCTTAAGAACTTCGTTAACCGAATTGAAGATCCTTATGGAAGGCAGTTCGTTAATCGAAATTACGTTAACCGAGGTGTTCGTTAAACGAGGGGTCACTGTATATCGTTTCTCGTAATTGATTTTTTTCTTTATTATTATTATTATCATTATTATCGTTATTAATATTATTATTATTATTATTATTATTATATATATTATAATATATAATATTAAGCTATACAGTGGTCCCTCGGTTAACAAACTGTTCGATTAACGAAATTTCTGTTAACGAATTATCCCCCATAAGGATTTTTAGTTCAATTAACAAACAAAACTTCGATTAACAAAATCCTTACGACAAACACATTTTGTTGTGCTGATCAGTTGATCGTCTAGTTTGCCAATACAGTAATCAGTTCTTTTTAACATTTGTTTCCAGTGGAGTTAATATCAAGAAGGTTGTGCTCTTTTTATATTAAAATTGTTAGTCATTTTAAAATTTAGCTAACATATTGATAATACCTGTATATATGCAGTACAGTACAGGGAACTAGTTTTTTGTGCGCCCATCAGCCGTTTGACTCACCTGCCAAAGCGTCTCTGTTTAACTTTGTTTACAGTGGAGGAAACATCGTGTTTGTTGGTCTCTTGAATACAGAGTATTTTTACGTTTTTACATTAAAATTATTGATCATTCTGAAATTTAGTTAACATATTGATATTATATAGTGCAGTGCAGTGTTGATTAAAATAAAATAATCTTTAATTACACCTAGCAAACTTAAAATTTTATTAGTGAAATTACTGCTTCAAGCATGGGTGAAAAACATGATTCCCCCCAGTGTTCCTCTCCAAAAAGGAGAGAGGATTTTTATGTTAGAGAATCTGTCAGCCCAGAGGTTCCTGACATTATTATGGAAGGTGACACCTTCCAAGAAGCATTAAAATGCTTATCTTCTCCTGTCTCCTCCACCCCTACTTCCGTCTCTTCTTCCTTCTCCTCCTCCACCCCCACTACTAATTCCCATCATCATCAAGCAACATTCTAAATACACACCTCAAAGTAAGCGTACTTTACTGCATTTTGTTTATACTTTGTATGTACTTTTTTGTGAGTTGGAACCAATTACCCAATATCCCATTGAAATAATAGATTTGGTTAACAAACGACTGTGGAACAAATCGTGTTTGTTAACCGAGAGACCACTGTACAGTATTATATTATATTTTTATTTAATTTTTTTTTATTAATTATTATTATTATTATTATTATTATTATTATTATTATTATTATTATTATACAGTGGTCCCTCGGTTAACAAACACAATTCGTTCCAGAAGGTCGTTCGTTAACTGAATCCGTTGTTTCAATGGGATATTGGGTAATTGGTTCCAACTCACAAAAAAGTACATACAAAGTATAAACAAAATGCAGTAAAGTACACTTACATTGAGGTGTGTATTTAGAAGGCTCCTGGTTGATGATGATGATGGAAATTAGAATTGGGGGTGGAGGAGAAGGGAGAAGAAAAAGAAATGCGGATGGAGGAGAAATCACCTTTCAGGGGACCCATGCTTGATGCCGTCATTTCACCAATAAAATTTTAAGTTCACAAGGTGTAATTCAAGATTATTTTCTTTAAATCAACACTGCACTGGGTTATATATTATCAACATGTTAAATAAATTTCAGAATGACCAATAATTGTACTGTAAAAACGTGAAAATACTCTGTGTTCAAGAGACCCACAAGCAAGATGTTTCCTCCACTGAAGAGAGACACAAACAGACGCCTTGGTGGGTGAGTGAAGTGGCTGATGGGCACACCAAAAACTAGTTCTCTGTACTGCAATTATGTTAAATAAGTGGTAAAATGACTAATAATTTTAATTTAAAACTTGGAAAAATATTGAATAACACAACCGTCTTGATATTTACTCCAATGGGAATGAATGTAAGCCCTAGAACCGATTACTGTATTGGCGGACTAACCTACCAGCCGATGAGCAAGCCAAAACATGTTGACATGTTTTCGTAAGAATTTCGTTAATCAAAAATTTTGTTCGTTAACCGAATTGAAGATTCTTATGGAAAGTAATTCGTTAACCGAAATTTTGTTAACTGAGGCGTTTGTTAACCGAGGGACCACTGTAATTATCTTTTCGTCCCCAGGCCCTCATGTGGGTCATTGACCTGTGCCCTGGTGGGCTAATCCCATACAAAAAAGAAACAGTGCTTAAAACATTTGTTGCTAAAGAAGTCTGAATCCACATGTACCAAAGAAATGAAGTGATGGCACTTAGCACACACACTGAGGTATCATGATGTTATGCTGTGAGGAAGGGACTCTGCTTTGTCTCTTTGAGTGTGATGATAATATGAGCAACCATGAAAAGTTTTTATATTGAGGCTTAGTTTAACAATTATGTATAAATTTTAGTACACCAATAACATTGTTGGTCAAGTCTATCTCAACATCCACCAGTCTGTTTGACTATCTCACCATCTACCTCTCTATCTTTCTGTTTGTCACCATCTTCTGGTCTGCTTTCCATTGATTACATTTTCTCATACAAGGACTTCAGCTATATATTTTCATGTCATGTTTGACTATGAACACAGTCTGCATTAGAAATATGTACATGTGACTCTTCAGTCTTGCAAGCCTTTTCCTTCAGTGGTGAGGCCGGTGCTGGTCCAGTGATTCTTATCATTCGGCAGCTAGTGAATTAACCCGACCTTAACAGGATACTGTACTAGTCCATCAAAGTGCTGTTCCACCATCGGCCAGTGCACCCCTTGTGTCCTCATTGATCAGTATGCAGTGGTTATAATATTTTATTTTCGTGTTAAGACTCTTGTTCCGAGGACAAAATTAATGTTGTTTGGAGACAGTCTTTCTGATGTTAGGTACATAATTGTTACCCTTTAATTGTTATTCAGTGATTAGGTAGTTATTCTTCTTGCGGTCTTTCAATGCAAATTGCATCGCTAAGCACTCCTGTGCTGGAGCAACCCCTCCCGCTCAGCCGTATCTCACACTGAGAACACCCTTCCCATAAGCAGAAACACGGGAACAGTGGATCGGCCCTATCAACCGCCTAAGTTCCTCCCACTAGTCTCGTGGGCTGGTAGATGCATCTCTATGGGTGCAATTAGGGTCTTGATCGCTCTACCCAATGTTTATTAAAATGAAAAAACGTTTCTGTCATTGACGCATCGTGTGTTAAAAGACTGCGAAGGGGTGAGATTTCCAACCATGGTCAGGAGTGCCAGAGGGTTAACTGCTAAATTTTTTTAACCTGAGATGTGTTACATTTATAGAATACCTTACCATAAATGTTTCAGTTTAACTGTGAGGGAGAGCTGCTTGAAGGCATCCATTTTAGTTTATTCAGTATAAAGTAACCAGTATTGCTTGTACATGTGATGAGTACACCATGATTTTAGGTGTACAGTACTTTTATTTGTGAAAGGTACTGTACATCTTAAATTCCCATGTATTCTTTTTTTGTAAGGTGGGTACACGTTAAATTTGTATGCACTCTCTATGTGACGGGTACATCTTCATTTTTTATGTTTTTACTGTCAGTCTTCTAATATCAATAATTTGCTTTTTCCAAATTTGTCATCTCATCACCACAAAATTTTTCTCAGGAAAAAAAAATTATTTGTTCCAAAGTGACAGTGATTCTTTCACAACTGCAGACCTTAGTATCCCTGCTTGTTGAAAGATGTAAGGGGAAGGGGATGCAGTACTGTAGCTGATCAATAGGCAAGTCAATCACTCAAAACAAATGCTTTCTATGACAAAATTATATACTGTACAAAGTAAATTATGGTTTTAGAGGCAAATCAACCATTGTTTTACCGCTTACCAGCCATTTTTTATACACAAACCG